CGCTGACGAGCTCGTGGTAGCATCGGATCTGGTGCCTCCTTGCCGGCTCCGGGCTGCGGCGATGGCGATGGCAGCCTTGCTTCTTCTGGCCTTGTTGACGCAGGCGGTGGTGATTCTGGCAGTGCCCTCGTACTTTGGGTGTATACTGTTTTCAAGCTTTGGCCAGTAAGTGGTGGAGAAAGACCCTGGAGAGCTGTGGCTCTTTGATGATGGGGTAGGCCTTGGATAAGCTTTTGTAGAAGCTCTGTTTGTCGACGCAGGCAGTGGTGATTCTGGCAGTGGTGATTCTGGCAGTGGTGATGCAGGCAGTGTTGATGCAGGCAGTGTTGATTCTGGCAGTGTTGATTCTGGCAGTGTGTATACTGTTAAGCTTGGTTGTTAGCAAGTGATGGAGAAAGATCTTGGAAAGCTGTGGCTCTTTGATGATAGGGTAAGCTTTGAATAAGCTTTTGTAGAAGCTCTGTTTGTTGATGCAGGCAGTGGTGATTCTGGCAGTGCCTCGTACTTTGAGTGTATATACTATCATATCAAGCTTAGTTGTTAGCAAGTGATGAAGAAAAATCTCAGAGAGCTGTAGCTCTTTGATGATGGGGTAGGCCTTGATAAGCTTTTGTAGAAGCTCTGTTTGTTGATGCAAGCAGTGGTGATTCTGGCAGTGCCTTGCACTTTGAGTATATACTGTTAAGCTTGGTTGTTAGCAAGTGATGGAGAAAGATCTTGGAGAGCTGTGGCTTCTTGATGATGGGGTAGGCTTTGGATAAGCTTTTGTAGAAGCTCTGTTTATCGATGCAGGCAGTGATGATGCAGGCAGTGGTGATTCTGGCAGTGCCTCATACTTTGAGTGTGTATACTGTTAAGCTTGGTTATTAGCAAGTAATGGAGAAAGATCTTGGAAAGCTGTGGCTCTTTGATGATGGGATAAGCCTTGGATAAGCTTTCGTAGAAGCTCTGTTTATTGATGCAGGCAGTGGTGATGCAAGCAGTGGTGATTCTGGCAGTGGTGATTCTGGCAGTGCTTCGTACTTTGAGTGTGTATACTGTTAAGCTTGGTTGTTAGCAAGTGATAGAGAAAGATTTCGGAGAGCTGTGGCTCTTTGATGATGGGGTAGGCCTTGGATAAGCTTTTGTAGAAGCTCTGTTTGTCAATGCAAGCAGTGGTGATTCTGGCAGTGGTGATTCTGGCAGTGGTGATGCAGGCAGTGGTGATTCTGGCAGTGGTGATGCAGGCAGTGGTGATGCAGGCAGTGGTGATTCTGGCAGTGTATATACTGTTAAGCTTGGTTGTTAGCAAGTGATGGAGAAAGACTCTGGAGAGCTGTGGCTCTTTGATGATGGGGTAGACCTTGATAAGCTTTCGTAGAAGCTCTGTTTATCAATGCAGGCGGTAGTGATTCTGGCAGTGCCTCGCACTTTGAGTATGTATATTGTCAAGCTTGGCCAGCAAGTGCTGGAGAAAGACTCTGGAGAGCTGTGGCTCTTTGATGATGGGGTAAGCCTTGATAAGCCTTTGTAGAAGCTCTGTTTATTGATGCAGGCAGTAGTGATGCAGGCAGTGGTGATTCTGGCAGTGTCTCGTACTTTGAGTGTGTATACTGTTAAGCTTGGTTGTTAGCAAGTGATGGAGAAAGATCTTGGAGAGCTATAGCTCTTTGATGATAGAGTAGACCTTGATAAGCTTTCGTAGAAGCTCTGTTTGTTGATGCAGGTGGTGATGATTCTGGCAGTGATGATTCTGGCAGTGCCTCGTACTTTGAGTATGTATACTGTTAAGCTTGGTTGTTAGCAAGTGATGGAGAAAGATCTTGGAGAGCTGTGGCTTCTTGATGATAGGATAAGCTTTGGATAAGCTTTCATAGAAGCTCTGTTTATCGATGCAGGCAGTGGTGATGCAGGCAGTGCCTCGTACTTTGAGTGTGTATACTGTTTCAAGCTTGGCCAGCAAGTGGTGGAGAAAGACCCTGGAGAGCTGTGGCTCTTTGATGATGGGGTAGGCTTTGGATAAGCTTTTGTAGCAGCTCTGTTTGTCGATGCAGGCAGTGGTGATGCAGGCAGTGATGATTCTGGCAGTGCTTCGTACTTTGAGTGGGTATACTGTTAAGCTTGGTTGTTAGCAAGTGGTGGAGAAAGACTCTGGAGAGCTGTGGCTCTTTGATGATGGGGTAGACCTTGATAAGCTTTCGTAGAAGCTCTGTTTGTTGATGCAGGTGGTGATGATTCTGGCAGTGGTGATTCTGGCAGTGTCTCATACTTTGAGTATGTATACTGTTAAGCTTGGTTGTTAGCAAGTGGTGGAGAAAGACTCTGGAGAGCTGTGGCTCTTTGATGATGGGGTAGACCTTGATAAGCTTTCGTAGAAGCTCTGTTTGTTGATGCAGGCGGTGATGATTCTGGCAGTGCCTTGCACTTTGAGTGTATACTGTTAAGCTTGGTTGTTAGCAAGTGGTGAAGATCTCGGAGAGCTGTAGCTCTTTGATGATGGGGTAGGCCTTGATAAGCCTTTGTAGAAGTTCTGTTTGTTGATGCAGGCAGTGGTGATGCAGGCAGTGATGATGCAGGCAGTGGTGATTCTGGCAGTGTTGATGCAGGCAGTGGTGATGCAGGCAGTGGTGATTCTGGCAGTGTGTATACTGTTAAGCTTGGTTGTTAGCAAGTGATGGAGAAAGATCTCGGAGAGCTGTGGCTCTTTGACGATGGGGTAGGCCTTGATAAGCCTTCGTAGAAGCTCTGTTTGTCGACTCTCGAGTATCTTGTCCTAGTCCTTGATGTTTGTAATGTCAACCACTTCTCCATCGTCAACAGTTAGCTTTGATGTATTCGACCAGCGCAGCCTTGTCCAGGGTGAATAGCTACTCAACTTGAATAGTCTGATGCCATTCACGCATCTTTCGTCGTAGGGTAGCAAGTGAGTTGTGATGAAAAGCGATAGCTTGAGCCCAACAAGAAGTTGGGAGAGGTCAAGTGTTTATGCCACAGCACAAGGGACGCCGGGGAGAGGGCACATCGCCCCACTATAAGTGGCCTGGTAACAGCCTGCAGGAGAACATCCACCCCCCCCCCTGGAATAGCTTGAGCCCCCCAGGTGTTATTGCCGCAGCACAAGGGACGCCAGGGGGAGGGCACATCGCCCCACTATAAGTGGCCCTGGAACAGCCTGCAGGAGAACATCCACCCCCCCCCTGGAATAGCTTGAGCCCCCTAAGAAGTTGGGAGAGGTCAGGTGTTTATGCCACAGCACAGGGGACGCCGGGGAGGGCACACCATCCCACTATAGTGGCCTGGTAACAGCCTGCAGAAGAATACCCCCCCCCACCCCCTGGAACACCCTGCAGAAGAACACCCACCCCCCCTGGAATAGCTTGAGCCTCCCAACAAGTTAGGAAAGGTCAGATATTTATACTGCAGCACAAGGGAGGCCGGGGAGGGCGCATCGCCCCACTATAAGTGTCCTTGTAACAGCCTGCAGAAGAACCACCCCCCCCACCCCCTGGAACACCCGTAGAACACCCAACCCATCCCCTGGAATAGCTTGAGCCTCCCAACAAGTTAGGGAAGGTTAGGTGTTTATACTGCAGCACAAGGGATGCTGGGGAGGGCACACCGTCCCACTATAGTAGCCCAGTAACAGCCTGCAGAAGAACCACCCCCCCCCACCCCCTGGAACATCCGTAGAACACCCATGAACCCCTGGAACACCCGTAGAACACCCATGAACCCCCTGGACGCATATTATACGGCTTGAAAAGTTAAATCACTGGCAAAATACATATTGATTCCAGACTAAGTTATCCAAGTAGCTACGGAACGTCCTGAACCGACGACTCTCGTCCAAGAACCTTCTTCACCTTGGCCAGCATCTCCTCGTCTCCTTCGTCTTCTCTGTTCCGATCCGTTCATGTTGGCGCAGCCGAGCAGACAGAGCTGGGCTGCTCAGTCCTCCGAGGGCGCTGGCGGTCTCGTGGGCTCGGGTCTTCCACGTTCTCTTGACTGCTTTCCGCGAGCCGGAGCGACTCCCTCGTGACATCTCTGAGCGCTCCAACGGCTTCCTCGGATCCATACACAGCATGCTATCCAGCAGCAGACGGTTCCAGGTCGTCATGCTGTATCTGATAGCGCCTCAGGGCCTGACGGATAATGTGTCTTTGCACCAGAGTGTGCTATCCTTAAACATGCCTGTCTGTGTATACTTGGGCTGGCTGGCTGCCTGCAAAGCTTCACAATGACAGCGCTGATGAGTTGTTCCAACAAGGATGTTGTGCTGTACTCCCTCCTCCTTGGACACACCCAGATCAGACAGCTTGATAACAATGCCATCAGAGCTACAATGCTCAAAGAGTATAGTATTGTTGCTGGATATCGCAGTAGATTGATTCGCAGGTCGAGGTCGTCAAGATAAGCAGCTGCCGGCGTGGCTTGCTTCAATATATATAGCGACACTTTGCTTCCTAAAAAGTACTCGTCCCTTTTAAGATAGTCGCTAATCGAACCCCCCCAGGGACATACTCGATTCGCAGCGTCGGCAGTTGGGCCCATCATCCGAGCTGAGCAGCTTTATAATATGGGGGCTGGTAAGGAACAAAGGGAAGGTTAGTTAGGTTGATAAAGAGAAACAAGAGGAGGGAAAATGGGGATTGGGAACAACTTCACATGCGAGACTCGACAGAGCAAGAGTGCCTCCTTGCTTCCCACTTCTTGATGTGGACTCTGGCCTAGCCCCTTTCACGGGCACCTTTTGAATCCAACTCGTCTCTTGTCCTGACGACAATTTGAAACTTGGACCTCCTTGGTGAACCTTTTGATTATAAAAGCGGGGCCTTTGTCTTGCAGGAAACTCGTGGCCACCAATGGTCCACTCGAAATTGATCCGGGGTGGTCTTCCATCCACGCATGTTCCGATCGTCGAGCCCATGTCTTTCACAATAAAGGTAGTAGTCGTCGTTAATAAAAGGTCGGTCAGGGAGAAGTGGCGGAAACTGACGCCGGGGGGAAGCTTGGGCAAGACTATGTCTGCCTTTGGGGTCCCAGCCAGCCTCAAGGCCGCCGCCGCCTTTGCCGCCGCCTTTGCCATTTGGCACGTCGCTGAGCGAGATTACCCGAGGCAAGCTGTGTAGGTAGTCGAGGCTTGTCGTCCTGCTCCTCGGGCACCTCGGTGGGCACGGGTCCGTCCGTGGAGCGAGACGACGGGAGGGCATATCCCCTGTGTCGCCGAATTGAGTTGGGACTTTGGACGTGCTGGGCTTTCGGGCATGGAGCTGCTGGTGGACCAAGGCCTAATGATGGTAGGGACGTGCCCGACGATGCAAGGCAGTCAGGTGGTCGTAGATGTCGGAGAAGCGATCCCCTTCTTGTTATTTCGCAGTGACCTTCTTGGAGAGGCGCGTAAATATCTCGGAGCGCTGCAGACACGAGACCGCCTCTCGGAGAAGCTGATGGACACAAAAGGGCGAGCTCGTCGAGGGCTAAGCTGTCTCAGCTCGGCGCAGAAAATCCGTCCTTGACCCCCCGGGGGGCACTCGAGGCTGCTGCTGCTGTCGACATGGTGGGCCGAGCCGGCGAGCTGTCTCCGCGCGAGCTGTCAGCCGTCGACAATGGCAATGTCGTCCTGGAGCTCCGAGATTGCGTCTCTTGGTTCTCTCTCGTGTCCCAGCTTCTCCGGGTGGTTGTAGACGTCGGTGTCGAGAGACATGATGGTCAGTCCTGGCGTGTGTTGTGTTTCGCCAACAAACTTGTTGAGAGAGAAGAGTCAGGTCCGGAGGAGTCTTGCTATAAAAAGAAACACAAGCTCGACAGAGGAGGCTATCTCTTGCGCATTCCCACCGTGTCAGTAGCCATAGCAGCAAAAGATGCGATGCTCACCATCCCTCCCGCCCCCCCCCAAATTGAACATGGATGCCATTTGTAGTGGAGGGAGTCTGATCATGTGGGAGAGTTTGGCTCTGTGTGTTTGCAGCACTGGGTTCGTGACAAAAATGCCTGTGGCTGTTTGGTGTCGTTCTGTAGTGATTATAAAGACATGCTCTGTTGGCCATGTTATTTTATTCCTTTCCGCTGTTCTGGTTAAATCTACAATCTTTCAGGCGTAAAACCATCCCACGGCAAAACATCGGATCGATCTTGAACAATAGCAAGCGCCAGCAAACGTCCTTACCCAGCAGCCCATCGCCGGGGCCTTTCCTCCACGGGGGGCCCGCCGGCCGTGGCTGAGATGCAACAGGTCTACAAGTACCAAAAGGCGTAAAGTGAGATCCGTTGCCCGCACCCCCTGCCCCCAAGCACTTGACGCCCTCACCACAAGCTACAACATGCTCCCCCGACGATGCAGCTCAGCTCCCAGTTTCGGAATCAACACCTGGCAGCCCTGAGCAGCAGCAGCATCCACCCAGGCTTTCAAGGTTGAGAACAAGTTCAGCATTCACCTTTGTGTGTACGCTTGCACGGCCACATATTTACATCATGGGCGACAAGGGCTAGTTCCACCCCCTACGAGTTCCGCAGCAGCAGCAGCAGCAGCAGCAGCGTTTGCGGAGCTGAAAAAAAGAGGGGCGTTTCGCAGCACGCCCGAGATGAAGAATTGACAATCACAGAAATTCTTTGTCGACTCTTAAGCTCAGCCCAGACTGTGTCAACGAGAAAGTGGTCGTGGATGTGATTGCGCAAGCACGGAAGCCTTCAACTGAGGCCGGGCGGATAAGCTGGTGGTGGATGCTTCAGCATGCAATCGTATCAGCATTAGATACTTCCCAGTCATGTCTGCTTGACTCCCAAGTTTGTGCATGCTTCCTTTTCTCGTGTTCCTGAAGTCACTATAACTTTAATCATCCAAGCTGTTCCACTCCTCTTCATGGTTTATTAGTTTTAACCAAGCTTCTCTCTCCACTTCCATATGATCCCATTCCTTCATCTGGGCGCCCGCTCTCGCCCTCTTCACGCAGTTCCCAATTCGGCAACGGTGGTCAGGGTTCGTTGCAACTTCTATAGCCCCAGTAAGCCTTCGGGGGGGGGAAAAAAAAAGCAGCTATGACTGTTTCCGTTGTCCAAGCTGAGCATGTCCAAGACAAGGCTTCTTGAGGGGTATGCTGCATGGCTCGATGCTGAAGATGGTCTTCGCCTCGAAGAAGCGGGATAGAAGAAGAACCTTTTCGAACTTTGCTACAGAGAGGCTGGGAGGGATCTCTCTCCGGGTCCACCAGTGCTGGGATGGGCCTTCTTCTTCTTCTTCTCCTTATCGAGATGTAGCTTCTTCTGCAGCCGGCTCTTGGGCAGAGAAATCGAGGAACTGTAGCTCCAGGCACGGAGGGGGCCTGGCTGTTTCCTCTCTCTCTTCCGCTTAGCAGCGGTAGCTGTTCTCTGCTTGTTGACGGGCTGCGGCCTTGGGAGGTCTTGGGGAATAGCCATCTTGGCCTCTAGTACCTGGTGAATCAGTAGATCCAGTAGCTGATCTGAGCAACCAGGCCTTCATCAGTGGAGCTGGAAATAAGTTCTTTGGGCGCTTCAGCGCTATCCAGTTGGTCCTCCGGGTTCTGCCTGAGGAGCAGGAGGATGTCGGCGTCGGCGGCGGCTATCGTGGACTTCAGTTTCCGCCCATCCGTAGTTTCCGCCCACCCCGGCCAGCCACACCTGTTATGACCCATCCGACATGCAGGTCACGAAAACAGGGCCCCGCCAAACAAAGGGATCGAGCGCTAACAACCCAACAGCGATCCTTCCCTCCTTCATAACCCTAACCCTAGGTTACGTAATCCTTGTTGGTCGTCCGACGTTGACACACCTGTGTAATGGAGCAACTGCAGTAATCCCGAAGATTCCTAAATACCAAAGAGGTTTATGCTAACAAGAGCGGTGCCAAAGTACAGGCCTTGAATACGGAAACAAACTGGAGTCTGAATGCACGTATCTTACTGCCTTTGGGGGGCTATTCAAGTGTATATGTCAAATAAATACTTAGATTGACAACTGAAGAGTTATATACAATGATCTATCTAATGGTAATGAACGTGTCCTTCTATATTCAGCTCTTCATCGTGTGTTGGTGGTCTTGGTTCTTGTTGGATCACCTGGATCACCTGGTCTGGCTCGCTGTGATGCAGTGAGTGGCTCACTTGGGAGTTGGTGGTCCTAACCCTAACCCTTTCTTATGTATAATCCTTGCTGACTTGTCCGATGTTGAGTCGTGACATCCTGGTTCTTCCGTTGGTGGGACCTGTTTCGTGACCTGCATGTTGGATGGGTCATAACAGGAGGAAAGTGGGGGAGGGGGGGGGGGACAACGTCTGAGTAGGGAAATCAGGTACCCGTGGGTCTCAGCCCTCCTGACCCACTACCTCCGTCTTACGCACGTCAACGTCTACCAATTTAACCCGATTTAGTATAGTGCCAAGCAAGCACTTAAAAATTCGCGAGCTTCAGCAAGTGGATCGCCGGAGTTCTGCCTCTTCACACCCTAGCTGTGATAAACCAATGAAGGCTGTCGCGAGCCAACCCTCAGCTCGGGGCTGCTACCGGGCCGCTACCGGGCCGCTACCTAAAGATCTTGGCTTGAGCTGGCGCAAGGGTGATAATCTTTGCTCAGCTTATACCCGTTTCAGCCGAAACCTATTATTATGGGCCCATCCAAGATGCAGGGTCCCAGGACGGGCCACACGGAACAAGTGGACCAGACATCAGGATCCAAACATCCAACACGGTGCTTACATAACCTAGTGTTGAATTACAAATTCAGCCAATCAGAAGAGGACCGCAAGGACTGCAAGCGGTCCTACCGATCTAAACCTTGGACCGCAGCGACTGCTATTGACTCTGGCAGTAGACTGAAGAGCAGTGCCTTCCAAGGGGGGGGGGGGGGGTTTACCAGAGGCTGTTGATTCTTGATAACCTGAGAGTGAGGTAGAGTCAAAATGCACTGTCCTCCTTCGCCAAAGTATATAGATGCCTTCGTATAATCTAGAATGCTCTCCCTTTTTCCTTTTCTTTATCATTCATTCTTGTCTCCTCTCGTTTCTCAATCATGGCTTACCTTCCATAGTGAACTTTTTTCTCTCACAGATGACCTCGGCAAGCAAAGTGCTGAATTGCTATGAGCTGCGCTGTTGCTGCTGCCCTGAGAAACCAAAAAGTTCAGCTGCTAGAACCAAGTGCTATATGCTTCGAGTAGATACGCTCGAATGCTCCAAGAAACAAACCGTAAGTTACCTACCTGCCTTTATTCAGCACAGAGATAACAAATGCCGAAAAGAACTCAACCTCCCTAGATCGCGACATTTGTTCCACAGGGAATCTAGAATCCCTGTCAGATGACGACTTCCACTACACCGAGCATGAGAACGTGTCCTCGATCGACAACCAACACTCTACCCAGATACAGAAAATAATCCTCGAGATACTTTATTACAGACTTATTCTGGGGCTATATAGTATATATAAGCAAGCTGGATGTATAGGTAGCTTATAATCTTGTTATCGCTATAGCAGTTGAATATAACTTGGTTGCAATCTTTAACAAAGTCCTGAAATTATACCAAACATCTCGGAGGGGGCAGGTTCGTTGTCCGTTTCTGTAGTGTCAGCTTCCGAGCCATCTATAGGCACGTCTCCCCCAGCACTCCTAGTCTTCAGAGTCAATACGGCAAGGATAACGTTCTTAATCTCCCTGTACATTAGCATCTGTCTTGCCGTATTCCAAAATTGTATTGTTGTTAGAAATCGCTATTTGACTGCCTATTGTATTCCAGCCTTTAGCACATTGAGAGATCGTAGGATCAAGCCGCGTAATAAAGTCAGATTTGGTTGCATTGTAGTCGGCTATCATTTAATCTACAGGCTGGGGAAGAGGCATCTCCTCCTCATGTTTATTGGAGACAATGAAAAAAATACCATGTAATTTTGACAAAAGTGAACTCCAGATGTGGCGAATTATGCTGATTGCCGTTCAAAATAAGATCGAAAAGCATGAGAATACTATCGCATGCCAGACCAGACAATGCACAGCCACCAAACTATAACAGGATGTGCGTGTCGTCGGTTCTATCTTGTAGAGCTCCATGACGATGATTGCGGCTGGCTTGGATTTGAATATGCGTCAACCCATATCAAATGCGTAAGACCCTGATTGCCGCTGTTGTTCGAATAATGCTAAACGAGAATAGACGTCTGGGCGCTGGTCAGGGGGACATGAAAACCGTAGTGTCTGGACATGTTCGGCACTGACTTGAAGACTCAGATCTTGTAGAATGCAGCGAGGATCTTGCGAACAGTGTCTGGAGAAGATGCGGAAAGGGGGCCGGAAGGGAGATGGCAGCGGTTCGGGTTCTGGAGGAAAAGGAGGTTCTGCTGCTAACAATAAATCCCCTCCATGTCTCTTAATACAGAATAATCTAGGCTTATTATCTCCAATAGTGTGACGGGCATGTTCCCTGTCAAAGGTGCAAGAACAGTGCTTTGGTCTGTACAGTAACCAGCACACGAAAAGTATCTAATAAACGGTTTACTGCAGAGTATGTATGAGCTTTGCGAATTTTATTGCTATACTAGTCCTCTATCGTCTAATTTTGGGTTATCTTTTAGGTATGCAGAAGTTCTAGCAAATACCCATACAACACTTATCGCTACTATCAGAAAGTTGTATTCCATGGTTCGGAGCAGCCAGCCACGGAACCTTGGTGAGCCTGATATAAATGGTGATGGACAGCCTTCAGCATACGACATTTTGCACAAACTAGGCTGTATACGACTCGATAGCGTTATGGATCTCCAGAATGCTGTGGCTTTGGAAAGTCTAGATATAAGGCTTCAATCAGGATCTGAAGAGCGACAAGACAATGCAGGAAGACCGCAAATTGGTGTTGAATCAGTACCCGACCCCAGCTCGGTCGATACAGAATGCTCAAGCTCATCTCAAACTGCTCATACAATTTCTGCTGATCATCCAGCACATCTTGGGAACTATCCATCCAATTGGGCTTATCCGATCGATACGCCATGGAATTCCTCAGCCTTTGTGGGATCGGAGTTTTTGGGAAGCATGGAATTGTCAAATGATAGCACAGATTTGGAGAGAGCAAGAGAAGCAATCAATCCAATGGCACTTGCCGAATATGACGCAGATATCAAGGTTGGCTCTGTGATACAGTGGTAGAAAGCTGGAGAAACTTGTAGTAAGTGAGAATGTTGGAATTATAGCGCTTTCGGAAAATAGCTGTCCGCCTGGCTGGGAGTCAGACAGTGAGCATATAAGTCAAAGCACCCCCTTGTTGGCACCCCTGAACAGCCACACCGCCATTTCCACCACCTTTACTTTTACAGAGTTTCCTCAACCAATTCTTATTCAAATGACTTCATCTCTTCACAGAACCTCGATATGCCTAAAAAAAAGCCGTATACCGAATTTGAGCTTGCCCAGGCCATCGAGGCTATCGGAAAGGGCTTGTCACAGAAACAGGCCTCACGCGAGTACGGCATACCAAGGTCTACTCTTCAACAACGTCTAGCAGGAAGAGAATCGCATCAAACAGCCCATCAATACCAGCAAAGGCTCTCTTTTACTCAGGAAAAGCAGTTAGCTGAATGGATCCTCGTCCAGGAAAGCCTAGGGCTCCCACCTAGCCACTCCGAACTTAAGCATTTTGCTCAGAGGATTCTCGAGGTCCAAAAAGACTCTCAAGGGCTAGGAAAGAAGTGGACTGAGGGCTTTTTGAAGAGAATTCCAGAGATACACGTTCGAAAGAATCGACGGATTGCCTCTGAACGGATCAATAGAGCTACAACAGAGATAATACAGCCTTGGTTCCGTCTTTTTGATCTTCCTCAAGTTCAAGCCATCAAGCCAGCTAATCGATGGAATATGGATGAGGCTGGGATAGTTGAGGGCCAAGGAGAGAATGGATTAGTCCTCGGTGGCTCTTCTTCACGTTCAATTCATCGAAAAGAGCCTGGGTCGAGGTCCTGGACTTCTTTCCTCGAGTGTATCTCTGCTACAGGCGCCTATCTTCTTCCTCTGGTGATTTTCAAAGGGAAAACGGTTCAACAACAGTGGTTTCCTCTCCTCTTGGACTCTTTCAAGGGCTGGCAGTTTACATCTACGAGAAACGGCTGGACTGACAACGCTATGGCACTTGAATGGATGGAAAAGATCTTCATCCCTGGCAGCAAGCCAGCAGACCCCTCAGAGGCTAGACTATTAGTCCTGGATGGCCACGGCAGCCATACAACTGACGAGTTTATGTGGCAATGCTATGAAAACAATATCCTGTTGATTTACCTTCCTCCTCATACCTCTCACGTACTTCAACCCCTCGATCTAGGAGTCTTCTCGTTTCTCAAGAGGGCATACAGACGAAGAGTCAGTCATACAAGCCAGTGGGGGGATTCAACAGTGCTAGGAAAGCGTTTATTCCTCGAGAACTATCGCGAGGCTCGTTTGGAAGGTCTTTCTAGTCAGAAGATCAGATCAGGGTGGAAAGCTTCTGGTTTATGGCCTGTGAGACCCTCCAAGCCACTCTTGAGCTCTCTTCTCCTTGCCAGCACTCCTCAGCACACTCAGGCTAGGGCGAATTCAAGTTCAAAAGCATCAACAGCATCTCAGCTTACCCAGGAAGCTTTCTCAAGCCTACCAGTCATCTTTTCAACTCCTCGCAAGGCTAAAGACCTATACTACCAGCTACAGAAGAATCGGCAGCAACTTTCATCAGCTCCAATGCAACGAGTATTGTTTAGGAAGATACAAAAAGCACTCAACGAGAGGGACTTCGAACTGGCAAGAGCTCTGGAGAAGAACGAGGTACTGGAAAAGCAGGCTGAGACTACAAGGCCAACTAAAAGAAGGAAGGTAGATACAAGCCCAAATTCGAGGTTTGCGGATATTGAAGATATACAGAGGGCTCAAAATGCAGTCAATAGGAATGTTAATAGTCAGGATGAAGAGAGCGATATCGAATTACCTACTGATGAAGAGGACTGCATCATGGTAAGTGAATAGGAAGTGAAATGTATATAAAACAATATATATATATAAGTGGGTGATATGGCTGTTCAGGGGTGCTAATAAGGGGGGGGGGTGCCAACAAGGGGGTGCTTTGACTTATGGCTAGCAGAATCTTGCATCGCATGGCCTCAAGGTCAGCAGATGGCGATCAGGCAAATATGCCAGGCTTGAGCCCTCTAGAGAAAGAAAAATTACGATTGCTATGAACAGGGTTCAGTAGCAGTACGGAATAATAAAGAGCATCTTTATCATGAAAGAAGCTGGAGTTGAGGAGAGACTATTTGTGTGAGTCCGACCGTCTACGCAGCTATATAGGCCATAGTCCCTTTATGGGAAATGAACTGTATTGGACTGCGCTGAGGGAAGGAAAAGGAAGGAAAAGAAAGGAAAACAGCTGGCTATCTGAGGCTATAGACAGAGGTTGGCTGGCGATAGTGGGGCCAGTGACTCACCTGGCCTCGCACACCCTTCCAGTCAGCTGGGAGTCTCAAATACACGCTATTTGAATGGGGCCCAGTGAGCCTCGGAGTAGCTTAGAAACTAACGCATCTAAAAATCCTCCACCTTGAAGACATGATAAGCAACCTCCTCGTAATGGGCTCTGTGGGTGTTGAGGTATTAGTTAGACCGCTATCCCAACGGTGGTCTTGTGATAACTAGTGAGGCTATATTGGAACTTGCCTCTTCAGCGCCTCGACAGCGTCCCGGTTGTGTGCCCTGGAGGTATCTTCACTTACTCAGAGGGGCCCGAAACAGGAAGAAAATTAGAGTAAATCTTGTGGTAACCCATTTTGACAGCATTGGTGCCGTTGAAGAACTTCACCTTCTTGAGATCCCAATCCAGGTTTCGTCCGAAGCTCACCAGCCGCTTCCTTGTATATCTCGGGCTTCGAAGCCGAGGCAAATGATACCTACAGTCGCTTTGTGACCATTGTTCTAGGAACAAAGTGAGGATAAAGAAGATATCTGCACATACTGTTAGTATATAGTGACGGCAGAGATATACATGGTTACTGACTCTTACCAAGATCATTCGCAACGACGACATCAAAATACTCTCGAAAAGGCATTGTAGTTAAGCCTATCTCGTGTTGGAGATCACTGAGAAACTGGAGAGTATTCTCCGGACTCGTACCGCCAAGACGGAGCACTCTAACTCCTGCCGTTGGTGGGTTGATTAGGAAGACGGCCTGGTTTGGATGGTGACAGAAGGGGCAACAAGATATCTGGTACCGCCATGGCTCTAGAATCTTGCCACACGACGTGACACAGGACGAGCAAATTCGATGAAGACAGTCCAGAGTGTGCGAAGGTACTCGAAATAGACAGAAATAGCATGTGGACTCGCTTGGAATGGACGCCCATGTAGAACGTGCTGCCCCAAGGATCTCTAGATGCGCTTGTGCGAAAGGGACCCCATTCGAGAGATGATTACGTACTATCCCTTCGAAGTCATGCTGAACCTTCCAAGCAAAGCGCTTCTGCTTAAGAGACTTCTGCAGCTGCATTATAGGCTCTTCAAAGACGCATGCGAAGACCTTCTCTGGGCCAAAGTCTGTATAGTGACACCAGTTAGCATATTCTCCGAGGAGGCCGTAGGGATCACATACGGTACAGTTCCGGTGAGAAGGCAGTTAGTGCTAGAGCAGATGCTATCAAAAAGGTCTGCTGCAAATTCATTTGTTTTGTGAGGCGATTGAACTCAAGTATTAGCGAGGGATTGCCTACAGCAACAAAGTCGCGAAAGTAGGAGGCTGGCCTTTGAGCTATTCCTTTGTTGTATAAGCTTTGAAACAATCTGATCGATCGAGCAGCCTACTGCACACAAACCTTTCACTATATGCAAGCTTTCAGGACATCTTCCGTTAGGTTTCAATAAAGATCAATTGTACTGGATTCATGAACTATGATATTGTCTGTGCTCATATTCAACTTCTCATGCTTTCCCACTACTGAGAATAGATTGCTTTCGCCATCATAAGTCATCCACTTCTTAACTCTGCAATCTTTTGTGCCATGCAAAGCACTCTATTGATGCGATATGCTGTTGTGATGTGTGCCTCCTCACAACGGTCCTTCAGCTCGATATCAGTCGGAAACTAATTTTCATAGAAAAAGTATGCAGTCTGACTTTCCCTTAGCTAATTGGGATATTAAAAATTGGAAGACCTTAGTATAGAAGACTGAATGCCTAACTGCTTGCATGGTTTCGGCAAACATGATCCCTCTATCCTCGTGTTGCTTTAACAGTGTTATCTGAAGGCTTTTGTGTGGGTCGGATTCTTCTCGAATGACCTATCATCAAACATTTTCTTTTGTGAGCTTCAATCAAAAAAGAGTTACTTGAAGGGAGTTTTTTTTTTACCTTCATCAGACATATGCCTTTCAAGTTCATCAATTGAATAGAAAAGAGAGAAACAGGTTTCGCATTTCAGTGAAGGCAGAAAACCTCTTTGATCTATGATACATATTAGCAATAAGAGTCTTCAATATGAATACAAATCCAATACTTACGTTTATGGAATACATGACACTTCAACGAAAGACATACGTCGTCACAAAGTGAACATCTTGATCCTTCCAACTTAGGCCCCTGATACCCCTCAGTCTCTAACTCTAGAGTTTTACCTGGTGAGTCGAGTGATAGAATCTGCCAGGAAGAAAATTCTAGGCTTGGATTAGTGACCACAGTGGCCGAGCACTTGCAATCCCAGCCTCCCTGGCAAGCAACATACATGAGAGCTTCCCCAGAAAACACAGGGCAGCTAAGACTGCTGACATAGTAGCAGGGACAATATGTCTCACACTTGGGACACCTTGAGGAGGAAGCTCAACCTTGTTGTGTAGGCACTTGAGGACTAACCCAATGTCATATCCTGCTCAAGGAGCCCTTTGGAGAGATTGCCTTCCATTGGTACAGCATGATTTAATGAAGACAGGAAGTTATGAAGATAGGAGGCTCGGCATTTTTTGAAGGCAATTAGTGAGTCGAAAGTGAGCCTGCAATAATCACATTGCTTTTGTCCTCGAAGAGATTTCATATAGTCTTGATGACCTTTCTCATGGAGTTCTCTTCCAGTGTTGGATCCCAAGCACCATTCGTAAGGGCAATGCCTGTGGCAGAGGCCATAGGGGCCTCGAGTGAATGAGGCCTGGCTGGCCACACTGACTCACTAACCTGAGCCATTCACTGGAAAGGGAGTGAGTCGCTGGGTGCGCTAGCCTAGTTGGGACTAGTGCCAGTTGCTGGCTCTACAGAAAAGCAACTGGCAAAGCGTGCCTTGAGATAGATTAATTGAAGAACCATCTTCCCTTCTACCATTTGTACAGCCCCTAGAGTGCCTTCTACAAGTGGTAGCTACGATCATACACTGCATTGAGGAATTCCTTGAGGATTCACCCCACGAAGCCACTGCGCTGACACGCCCACCTGGGAAATCAGCAGCCTTGGCAACCCAAAAACACCAAAAGCCCACTATCGTGAAGATCGTGGCACCAAAACAACAAGCCCTTGGCACCACGCTCACCTGAGACTGTGCCACGGACTTCCCTGATGCGTTACGCTCACCTGAGATCTCGCAAACAGGCGTTTTCATCAAAAACACCACAAAAAACCATCAAAAACACGCCCACGAGCATTCACAAGCATTCACAGCTAAGCTGTTTTTTCCTTTTACCCTGTCGCTGGTGGAAGCCCTGGCAGTTGAAATCAGCAAGCATACTCTGATTCTCGCGAGCACCATAAACATCCTCGCGCAGATATCACGAGTTACTCTGGTTACGGCACGCTCGCCTGAGAAGCCTAAACCATCCCCTAGCCTTCATATCCATCTATTGCTTGTCGCCAATTGGCTTGATTAACAGCGATTCACTGTTGATTTTAACTCTGGCAAGACAATCAAACAAGCTGAGCTAACTATGAGCGGTTTCTCAAAGAACCCAACTCGACCACCTATCCACCGTGCTACCACAGCCGATCTGGCTGCCAATCTGGCAACACAGCTAGGCAAAGACCCCAAACTTCTTCACGGACGCTCGACGAGTGAAGATGCGATGGCCTCTCGAGAAGAAGAGACCGCCAGTCAGGACAACCCGTTCCAGGCGGGAGACTACCATAGCAACAGCTCAGCACTGTTCGAGTCCCCTGCTGCGCAACGCGAGACTGGCACCCTCCAACACGAGAATCCTGAAGAACCAGCCAACTTCTCAAACAACTCTGCCTTCAAGGAGTACATTCGTTATATCAAGACGCAGGCTGACGACGCTAAGATAGCTGCGATCCACGCAAACCTGGAAATCAGAAAGACCTCGGAGGCTGTAGCGCATCTTGAGACCCAGCAAGCCACGATAGCTATCAAACAAGGAGCCCTCGATACTCAAGTCGGTAAACAAACCGACATGCTAGCTCAGCTGATGCATCACTTCAAGCTTAGCCCTGAAGCCACCGCTTCAGATATTCGCTTTCAAGCTAGCAATAGTAATCTACCCCCCGCTGTACCTGGCCCTTCACAAGGTCCAGCAGCTCCCCGACGAGCTGTCCACTATAGCGCTGGAGGAGGTGATCCTGATGATTCGGATGACGACTCCGACAACCAAGAAAGCGATGACGGAGGCCGTCGTCCTCCTAACAGGCCTCTAGAACCTGGATCAGGCAACCCCCGTAACCAGCGCAACGATACTCCGTTCTCTAACCAATCAAGCACCCAGCACGTTACTAAAATGAAGAAAGAGGAACTTGGAGTCTTCAACCCTGAATACAATAACCCCGAAGATATTGGCATGGTTACAGTCAGCAAGAACCTCGTCTTCACTGATATCTGGTTCTTTCTAGACCGTCTTGAATCCCTTAAAGATAGCACGAATGATGCTGATATTGAGAACGAGATATTGCGCATGTTCAGCACCTTACTGCAAGGCGCTGCTATTTACTGGTAAACCAACGAGTTGATCAACACTAAGCACACTAAGCTTCGTTGAGGAGGATATAGCATCATTACCAATCTTCTGGCTCAGCAATTCGCCATAGAACCCATGCGTGCTACACGAAAGTTCCGCGAAAGCTACCTAACCTTGAGAAACATTGCTGAGAACGAGTTTGCCCTGCGAAAGTTCATCCAGAAGAACCTCCGATACGCACGCAGTATGAGCATTCTCGACTGCGAGAACCTCAACTGGAAGGGCGCCTTGAACAACATCTGAAGCAAGATGGATAAACGCATTCAGCACTACCTTGCCCCTCCTCATCGCTACAACACCCTGGATGAGTATATGAAGGAGGTTGAGCAGGCTAAGAGCATCTTGATCAACATCGCTGATCGACGCTACCCTGAGTACTACAGAGGAAAGGGTAGTCGTCGAGACCATTCCCCAGCCCGCAAGTACGACTCTCGCACCAGCAGCAACCGCTGCAACGACCGAGATCGTCGAGATAACTGCGATCGTGATCGCGGAAGGGATCGTGGTTATAACCGCTGCAACAAAGATCGGTCAAGCTATTGTGATAAGAGCGTGACTCGTTCCTCAAGGTATGAGCCTCAAGATCGCAATTCATACCAAAACCGGGACTCCAACCGCGACAAGCCTCGGGATTGCAACCGCGACCGTGATTACGATCGGTTCAGGAAGGATGGCAAGTCTGAGGATTGCAAGAAACGCGACTGGAGTTGCCCAGCGACCTCCGATAAAAAGAAAGCCTATAACGTTACTGAGGATAAGAGTGAAGATACGCCCTCTGAGGACGACAGTGACGACCTACCTTTGCCTGGCGATAGGCAGGTACACTGGATCGATAGTCCTGGACGATCGCCCTCGCCAACCTCGTCATACTACTCTCGATTGCCTAGCCCTGTAGGCCGCGTCTACAACCTATGCGAAGTCGACCACCCAGTTAACTGCACGTGTATCTTCTGTAACAGAGAGTTTGATTCTCGAAGCTAGATGTTCCAGCACATGAGCGCTTGCCAGGATCGAGACCAGAAGACGAACATCTTCAAAGAGATCAAGAGACGTCTGAAGCACGCTATGTCTTTTGGAACTACTTCGCCTGAGACAAGCATACTACCGGTCCAATACCGTGATGAAGATATCCTCACGGAAGCTACGCCCGAAAAACAGCCGAACGAGCCTATCGGCGGTTACACTCACATGAAAATCACCGTACGAGCTACTCCCACCGGACCTGATATGATCCTCTGCAAAGACACTGGCACTGGTTACGACTTGGTGGATCGACAGTTCCTCAGTCAGTTCCCTGCTGCTGAGGTCTTGGTCCACAAGCTTCAAAAGATTGGGGGTGTGGGAAAGGGCATGATCATGCTGTTCAAATACGCTGAATGGGACTTCTACGTCTGTGGCAGGCGTGCTGACGGCTCTCCTGGACTGCTGTGCCAGCGTGCTGGGGCATGGATTGTGGATAACCTATCCGCTGGAGCCCTTATCAGCAACGGATAGCTCAAAGCCTGCAAAGCCATCATCAATTACGAGGACTAGGCCATCACATACCCAGGGCAAGGCAACTTCCAGGTGCCTTTCGAGGTCCAGCGTCAGGCTCTCTCACCTACTGTGCGAAAGGTGAGGATGGCCCATGCCTATGTTATTAGCTCTGGCGAGACTGCTTAGGTAGCTGTGAAATACGCTGAACTGCCCAAAGGCCGCTCATTCTCTTTCACATCAACCCACAGGACCGCGCTAAACGCGCAGATCGATGCTTCTTCACCCTCTGTAGTAGCTCTGCACAATGCTACGGAGGGAGCTGTTAAGATCCCCAAAGGCATGCGGATGGGCACTATCTACGAGTGTGAGGACACTGGATGGTTCAAAGCTACCTTTAAGGGCGCTGTAAAGGCCCTGGCAGTGGCAGCTGCCTTGGGAGGACTGGCGTCGATCTACCAGCCAGCCAACACCCACGCGATAGGTGCACACGACGTGCAATTCGCGTCTTCATTGAGGATTCCTGTTGGTTAGGTAGCAGTGAACAGAGAGTTCGACCTTACACCAGAGATCATCGCGACAGCCAAGGGTGCAGAAACGGAGACACGCCCGATTAGCGACTTCCTGTACGAAAAAGGCCTATCCTCCACGCCTTACAGCGATGCTGTTTGTCAGTCCCTAGGCGATATGGGAATGGCCTATGATATCAACCTTTCCGCGAATACCAAAGCTCTACCGTCCGACAACCACAACCTCGACATACGGAAACCTTCAACCATCATCAAGGGATCTCTGGGGATCAAGGCCCCAGACGAAGCTCCAGCTATAGTCCTCGACAACAGCGTTCGCGTCTGTTCGCAGGACCCCATCAAAGCTCAACAGTTCAAGAAGATTGTTGAGAAGTACCCGGCTGTATGGGAAAACAAAGGCCCTCTTGACATGCCAGAGGACCAGATGATGAAGATTCCCTTGATGGAGGGATGGCAGCACGCGAAGCTGAATCGCCCCCGTTACCCTGTTTCTCGCAAAGATAAGAAGTTCATCGACCAGGTACACGAGGATATGCACGAAGCTAGCCGCCTCGAATTCGCTGACGACGTCTGCCCGTTCGCATTGCCAATCTTCGTAGTCTGGCGTACGGTACACGGGAAGGAAAAGGGCCGCATCGTCGCGGACCTCAGAGCCCTTAACAAGTGGGCAGTACCTGACAACTACCCCCTTCCTCTTCAGTCAGACGTAATTGAAGCTATACGCAGTAAACAATACATCATAGTCATCGACGCCACAGCTTTCTTCTACCAGTTCCCTATCCACCCAGAATACCAAGACTGTCAGATCATGATCATGCACCGTGGCCTTGAGCAACCAACAGTAGCCCTGATGGGCTACCGCAACTCGCCCGCTCACGCTCAAAGATATATGGACAGGCTGCTTCGTGAATACAGGCACTTCGTCAAGGCATTCATCGACAACATCGTGATCTTCTCCGACTCGTTTGTGGATCACCTGAATCATCTCGATACAGCTCTCGGCATCTTCGACAAGAAGGGGATTTCTATCTCTCCCACAAAGAGTCACATCGGCTTTCCCTCTGTCGAACTGCTTGGCTTCTATGTCGACGCGCTCGGCCTATCCACTACGAAGGAGCGTACTGAAGCCTTCCAGAGGATGACCTTCCCTAGAAACCTCAAAGATCTCGAGACCTACCTCGGTGCGACTGGTTTCCTGCGAACAATGATCCCTTACTACGCGCAGCTCGTGGAGCCGCTTCAACTGCGCAAAACGTCGCTGCTAGCTGAAGGCCGCAAGCTTGGAAAAATCACGCCTGGAAAGAAGTCGCAGCATCAGGCCTATACACGTCGCACATACTACGAACCAACGGACACTGAAAGGATAGCTTTCGAGAACTTGCAGAACACTATCTGCAAGAAGATGCATCTGTACCACATGGAACCGTCTCAGAAGCTGTTCGTCCAAGTGGATAGCTGCTTGCAACGAGGATTCGGCGTGATGGTCTTTCAGCTGAAAGAGGACTACATCTGGCAGCCTGGCAAGCTAATTCCTTCACACGTCATCAAACCAGTGATGTTCCTTAGCTGCTGTTTGACGAAGGCTGAAATGAACTACGGTCCCTCTGAGCAAGAAGTTGCATATCTGGTCTGGGCGACGAAACGCCTGCGCAAGTTGATTCAGTCAAACCAAGCACAGCCTGTGATTATCCTCACAGATCACGACGCCACGCGTGGCATCATTACCCAAACGCGCCTTGACACCTCGTCAACAGACCGTGCGAACCGACATCTTGTCAACGCCTCTATCTACCTCAGCCAGTACCAGTTCGATATTCACTACCTAGCTGGGAAGCTCAACTACGTCCCGGATGCCTTATCAAGGCTGTCTGCAACAGGGAACACGGAGGCACGACAGAGCAACGAACCAGCTACTCTTGATACAGTGATTGACAACCTTCCCACGGTCTTCCTCGTTCTGTCGGAAGCACAGATGTCTGAAGATATGCAACAGCGCTTCTGGCAAGGATACAAGGAGGATACAGTCTACGGTAATATCATCACGGACCTAACGAAGGTTGGTTCAGCCGGAAAAAAGCCTCCTACCTTAACAAACAATGGAGACATTGTCTCTGCTTCTAAGCCCGGCCATTCATTCTGCCTGAAGGACCAACTGTTGTACAACTACGACAACGATGGAAAGAAGCGCCTCGTCGTCCCACAACCCCTCGTGCAGGAACTTCTGCGCAATGCTCACAACAATAAACACCACTTCGGCAGAGACCGCATGATGGCTGAATTGGATGGTCTTCACTTCAGGAAGAAGAGACTGCTCGTCTCTCAGTACGTCGATCACTGCCACGAGTGTGGCGCTCAAAAGAAGCAAAACCAGAAGCCAGCAGGTTTACTTCAGCCAATTCAAGCCCCCTCTGAACCTATGCATACGATCTCCCTCAACTTCATCCTTGGACTGCCATCAGTCGAATCAACAGGCACCCCGTGGCAGGTAAAAGGCTTCAAAGCTTACAACTCGCTGATGCCCGTCACTTGCAAAACCTCCAAGAGGACCCTACTGATTCCAGGCCACTCAACCTACTCAGCCAAGCAATGGGAAGCTGTCCTGGGCAGACAGCTGCTGTTGAGCGACTGGGCATGCCCTCGAGCAATTATCTCTGACCGCGACGCCAAGTTCACCTCAGACTACTGGACTGGCCTGTGGAAGACCTTTGGCACGCGTTTGCAGATGACCACAGCACACCACCCTCAGGCTGATGGGGCAGCCGAACGAAAGAATCAGGATGTCGAGCTGGCTATCAGATACCACGCCGCTGAACACCCTAACGAGGTTTGGATAGACCTAATTCCCTCTTTGCAGTGGAATCTGAACAACTCACACCAACGCTCCATCGACGCGAGCCCCCACGAGTTCCTGTTCGGATTCAAGATCCAGTCACCGTCAGACCGATTGATCAATATCACCAAACAACTATCCGAGATACGCTTTATGCGTGAACACCTGCGAAAAGACGCGCAATTGGCCATGGACATCGTCGCAGCAGACAACAAACGCGCGTACGATGCCAAACACTAACACGAAGAGTACGAGAAGGGCGACAAGGTCTGGCTAAAACTTGGCAAGGCATATAAGCCACTGCTACGCCAGAGCAACAAGACGCAGGCTCTTCGTGAAGGCCCGTTCACAATCATCAGAAAAGTGTCACCTTTGGCTTACGAGCTTGATTTCAAAACTGGCGACCGTGATGCTGACGTTCAAGTACACCCAGTGGTCAGCATTCAGTACCTGAGTCGATACAAACCTACTGACGACCCCTTCAATCGCCAACTACCTGAGCCTGGCCCGATCGAGCACAACGAGGACAGCGACGACTCAATTGGACCTGATGAAAACTACTACGAAGTCGATCGCATCGTGGACAAGAAGATCGAGCGACGAGGTGGCAAGAATACAGTACGATACCTGGTACGATGGAAGGGATGGTCCTCACGGCACGATCGCTGGAAGGATCTGAGGAGTCTCAAGTGCCCTGGCCTCATCGAGGAATACGAACGCGCACACCCCGACAAGGCTACGGAGATCCTCGTGAAGGACGGCCCAGCTGACCCCGTGAAGAGAAAGCGCGGCCGGCCCTCCAAGAAGCCGTTGCCTGATAACAATGAAGATGGAAACGCCGTGCCGGCACGAAGGAAGCAAGGTCGGCCGGCCAAGGTCACAGCCTCCCCGGCTGTCAACATTGACGCGTCTGACAACGCGACTGGAGGCCTCCCTGGGCCTGAAAAGGATGGGAAACAGGGCCCTGGAGCCTCTCCTGGCCTCCGAAGAAGCGCGAGACTGACACGTGGGCACGTGGGCACATGACCCCTAGATAGCTGCTGAGGACAGCAGGAACGTTTTTCCGTGGCCGGCACTTGTGGCAGAGGCCATAGGGGCCTCGAGTGAATGAGGCCTGGCTGGCCACACTGACTCACTAACCTGAGCCATTCACTGGAAAGGGAGTGAGTCGCTGGGTGCGCTAGCCTAGTTGGGACTAGTGCCAGTTGCTGGCTCTACAGAAAAGCAACTGGCAAAGCGTGCCTTGAGATAGATTAATTGAAGAACCATCTTCCCTTCTACCATTTGTACAGCCCCTAGAGTGCCTTCTACAATGCCGATAATTTGTCCTATGACAGAGAAAATGTGTGATTATCTCTAGCACAGTTTGAACTGTTACTGGACATTCAGCACACTGGAAGCGTGTCCGTAATGATGTAATCATGCTACGGGCATGCATAAATCGAGTGGCCGTTGCCTCTGAAGTTGTCATATCTAGAGCTATAGCCATAAAGGTGAGTGACAGGCTGGTTTCGAAGTAATCAAGTATCAATGTGGCTTTATAGGTGATGGCAATACTCACTCAGATGGATAGCAACAGCAGGGAGTTTGCAGGTCTCTCCCGAAAAGACATTCGATATTTTCTGGCCTTCAACATCTCATATCACTACCCTGCTTGAATCTTATCGAATTTGTCAGTAACTCCCATGTTCCTTCTAGTAAACCTGCGGCCTGATCATTCTCATTAGTTTAGAAATAACTGTTCTCGAATGAAAATGATTAGGCCGCAGGTTTCCGCAGCGGCTCATTCTCGTCCTCGAGCACCCCGCGGCAGATCGCCTGCATCTTGGCGTTGCTGAAGCCTTCGATGAGCTCAGTATACTGCTTGAACGCGTCGGCCTGTGTGTGCTCGTGGCCCCAGAACTTCATCACTTTGGCCCTGCAGAGGGGCCCAAAGAACTTGTAAGCTGTAGAGGAAGGCAGGTCAGCCTATAGCGTCCGGAGTCCTGGGGGGACCGGTGATATCAGGTGGAGTTGGCACCGATGGGTGCGGATTTGGGGAGGGAGAATGGTTCTGGCTGGCCCTATCTGGATGCCAGATAGGGGATTTTGGGAGGGGGGGGGGGGGTTGGCATCAATGGGTGCCAACTCGGGAGGGAAGGAGAGGAGGAGAAAGTGTGCACCTGCGCACAGGGGCCGCTAGAGAAGGGGGGGGGGAAGGAGAGAGCGTTGGCACTGATCGGTGCCAACTGCACTTAACCCAGCGTCCGGGATCGGGCCTGTGTTTGGGCCCGGTCTGATACTTACTCACACAAGTCTGGTGCATGTATACATGGCGGACCTCCTGAAGGCTGAGTACCTCGCCGAGCGGCTCATTGGCCAGGCCCGTCGACGTCAGCGGGTAGAAGAGGGTGACGCCAGCATACTTCTTGCTAATAAAATTAGCATTGTTCTTGATCTCGTTCTTGATAGGGCCCGCGCCTCGTGCTGGATCATAGCGAGGGCATCCAGCTTGTCATCCCACCAGGGCAGGCGAAGGGCGGTCCCATCCTTGTCATAAATCTCGTTCATGGGCAGAAAGCCATAGTTCGGCGGCAGGTCGTACTTCCAGCATAGTAACTTGGTGCTGGCCAGCTCTGCCTTCAGCTGCGGGTTTGTCAGTCTCTCCGGGTGTTGGGCCAGGTCCGGCAGGGCTGGTAGTATCTTTGGTGATCCCTCCATGTACCCGGGTGGGAAGGTGACCTCGATGTGCGAGGAAGGCGTGTCCGGTCCCGAGGCGGCGCCGGCGGAAGCAGCAGGGGTCGCGGGACCTGGCTGGCCCTGCTCATCCGCGTCCTCCTCCTCGTGGGCCGCGCCTGTTCCTCCGCCCTTCTTCTTCCTTGCAGGGGGTTGCTTCTTCTTCGGGGCGGCTGGCGCCTTCCCCTTCTCCTTGACCGCCCGCTTGGGTGGCATCTTCCTTGGCGGTCGGGTAGGTTCAGTTCCTTGTGGTATTGGGAATCCAGTTGGCACCAATGGGTGCGAGCAGAGTCAAGATGGGAGAAAAAGGCCGTTCTGGCAGATAGTTATAGGATGAAAGAGAAAGAGAAAGGAGGGAGGTCCAGGAGAATTCTCAGGATCGAATAGATATCTCGAGGGCACGCGCACGGACCACATGGACCATCCGGAGGCCAGTCGGCCCGGCGAACTGGTCACTCTCAGGGATACACGGGACTCAGACCCTAACCCGTCCCCTAACCCTGGCCTTTTCTGCTGTTGAGTCAGCGCCTGCCTGCAGGGAGGGCCTGAAAAAGCAGGGATTAATTGCTACGAAGGCCTGATTTTACAGGGGTTAGCAGGGGTTTTTCGTCGCTAGCGCCTGTCACCCACAGCGTTTTTCGAGGGCGATTTGGGTGCGAGGGGCTGAATTTACAGGGATTAATCCGGCCACTTTTGGCGGGCGGCGGGTGACGCGGGTGACCGTCACCCACGCCGCCAGGGCCCCAGATAAGTGCCATTCTGGCTTCGCCAATGCTGGAGCATAGCAGATACTACAGTCCATAATGGTGCGGAGATCCACGCACTCATAGGCTCCATAGGACTTCGACCTACAGCTATAGCACCTGTACAGGGTTCTATCCTTCTTTAGGATATCATTAATCTCCGCCTGCCATACCTCAGAGTATTGCTCACCCTCGTCCTCCGGACTCACATAAGCAACACCCATCTGTAAGGAATTTGTGCTTCCTTAAGGAGGGTTCCTTGCAGAGATAGCTTGGAGACGTCTGATCAGTTGTGAGATCTCTTGCAGAGCCTTGGTTTGGTCGTATAAGACATCCCGGGTTTGCTTAAGAGCGTCTGACTGCAGCTTCAGGGACTGTACCATTGCAATTTGGTCGATGCGGAGCTGCTCTATTATTGAGGCCAGTTGATCATATTATTGATCATTCTTCTGTGCAGGCTCAGCCTTCAAGATCTGCTTGGTTGGTTCGGGCTGAGTTTGCCAATCACGAGTCGACTGTTGAGGCGGTTGATCTTATTGATTGCCGCGCATACTTACCATGTAGGCTGGGGCACGCCCCAAACAGCAGGTTGTACCGCCCGGCTTGAAAGTGCACAGCGCGAGTGTGCTAGCTGAGTCATACAGGAGAAACTTGTGGCCCGTGCGTTTTCAATTAGATCTCGTGAGTGACTAACAGACTACCGCCCCTGCCGGCCCCCTTGGTAGTCTGCGACGAAATGCAAGCTCAATCTTCATCACCCTCACCACCTCCACAACTACTGATCCCCACCTCTGCTGCTGTCACCATGGCAGACCTACAGCAGCAAAACCTCATCAAAGATCATCCGATCGGAAAGGGTCTCGATGATTTTCACACCACGTTCAACTCGATCTGCGACAAGGCAGGCATCTCCTGTACACTGGACGCGCTGGAGCGGCTGGGACGAGAAGGCAAGCAGACCAGTTCTTGGCTTGAAATGCCTCTTCTAATACACGAACAGATATGCAAGATCTCATATTAACTCTTATTCCCAAACTCCGGCTGCTGCCCGTTGCTCGTCTTCTACCTTCCGGGTCAGGCCATGGCATCCTTCGAACTGATTTGATCCGACTGAACTCAGCAGTCAACTCCGATGCTTTCGATTTCGATAGCATAAAGCCCCTCCTCTGCTCTATCCTCGAACGCGACTCTGATGAGCGCATCTGGGAACACATCTACTGCCTGATAGCCGATATCCCGTCGCTGCAGCAACCCCCCCCCCCCCAGCCGCAGCGCACCCCGCCGCCGAGACAACCGATTGCAACCTTCCTTGAGCAAACCCCGTGGGTCTACACCACGAGCGGCATAATGAACTCGTCCGAGAAGCGCGAAGAGGTGGACAGGATCCTTAAGCTGGAGCTTGGTCCTCTCTATGTCGATATTCCTTCCTTCAGCGAGACATACTTCGGACAGGTAGCTGGCCTAGAGGCAGGGTCCAAGGCTGTCTTCAAGAAGTGCGTGGAGGGCAGCAACCCGCTTTTTGGGCCCGAAGGGTGGCGCGGCTGGCCAGCAATCACATCAGAAAAAAATGTAGTGGCCTGGTTCTACGACCTGTTTCCCCAGCTGGAAGCATTCGCAGAAGCCTGCGGTGCTGCGCCGGCATCTACGCTGGCATCTACGCTGGCATCTACACCGACACCTGCGCCGATACCTCGACGAAAGCTGCTGGTACAACCCAACACGCCGCTCCCAGACTCTGTGGGGAAGCGCAGCATGGACATCGGCTTTGTAAGGGATGACCTCATCACGGCAGCAGAAAGCGGTTCCAGATATCGATGGTCGCACGTTCTCGTGCCAGGCGAGCTGAAGATGGGTCCGTCTGACGATATACCCTCGATCGCGTGGATAAGCATTGCAACATACGCAAGGGAGGTCCTCTCAGCCTGCAGTACTCGCCGCTTCGTTCTAGCCTTTACCCTCTGTGGACCGCTTATGAGGCTGTGGGAGTTTGACCGGCTCGGAGGGATTGCATCCGAACAGTTCGATATCAACAAAGACGGGCTGCAGTTTGTGTTTACAATGCTCGGGTTCCTGTGGATGAGCGAAGAGCAGCTTGGCTTCGACCCAGCATTCAAGAGAACACCCAGCGGCCAGCAATTCATCGAGATCAACCGGAATGGCGTGAACGAGCGTCTCATGATCGATGGAGCAATAATACACCAGCATTGTATAGCTGGCCGAGGGACAACCTGCTGGAAGGCTCATCCTGAAGAGGATCCTCGGACAGTACTTGTCATCAAAGATTCGTGGCAGTTCCCAGAGCGGGACGTAGAAGGCGACCTGCTCCGCAAGGCGACTGAGAAGAAGGTTGTCAATATGGCTCGGTACTATCATCACGAGATTGTTCAGGTAGGCGGTACTAATGATACTATCCGGAGCAATGTGCGCAAGGGGCTGGATATCACCAAAGCTTCCAACTACAAGCCAGACTGGACAGACTTTATGCCGCGCGTAAAAGCGAGAAGTGGCTCGCGGAGAGGCCGCAGCAGCAGCAGCAGCATCGCCGGTATAAAGCGGCTATCTAGCCAGGCTGCCGCCCCTCTACCGAGCAAACAGCCAGCAAGCAGCAGACAGCTGTCCAGCCCAGCTGGCATATTTTTGCCACCATTCAGCCCACCATCCAGCCAGGCCAGCATGCCTCAGCCACCAAGCAGGCAGCCATCCAGCCAAGGCGGCACATCTCTGCCGACCAAACGGCCATCCAGCTATGCCGACGCACTTCCGCCGCCCAACAAACGATCCCGCCTATCGCAATCTCCCAACGAGGCCAGCATGCCTCAGCCACCAAGCAGGCAGCCATCCAGCCAAGGCGGCACATCTCTGCCGACCAAACGGCCATCCAGCTATGCCGACGCACTTCCGCCGCCCAACAAACGATCCCGCCTATCGCAATCTCCCAACGAGGCCAGCATCACCACCCTTCCGGACCGGGAACATAGGCGTACTATTGTTTGTGATTATGGACTGCCTATCTACAGAGCAAGCTCTCGAGCTCGTCTGCTTGCTGCGCTGGAGGGCTGCATCGCGGGACACGAGTCTCTGTACCGAGCAGGATTCCTGCACAGGGATATCTCGATCAACAATCTCATCATCAACGAAGATCCCAGCAACCCGTCCTGGCAGTCGTTCCTGATCGATCTGGACCTTGCTGTTGAGATACAGCGGGATAGTACGTCGGGCGCAAAGAGCATAACCGGAACCAGGGCTTTCATGGCCATAGGAGCACTCATGGGCGAGCTGCATTCTTTCATGCATGACATCGAATCCTTCTTCTGGGTTCTCTTCTGGATCTGTATTCATTACGAGGGGCCGGGCAAGGAGAGAACTGTTCTGAAGTTTGACAAGTGGAACTACATGGATACAGACGCGCTACTCACGATGAAAGCTGGTGTGATTACGAGCGATGTGTTTACGAGGACAGTCGCACAGCACTTCACTGATTATTACCGGCCGCTGATCCCACTTGCAACTAGACTGCGGGAGGTGATCTTTCCTGGGAATGAATGTTGGAAGCAGGAGGATCCGACACTGTATGCCAGGGTACGAAATATCCTTGCAGAAGGCTGTACAGACCCTGATATTACTAATTGCTAAATTTCTTAAATTCTGTCGGAATAAAGGCACTTGTAACCCCGATGCTTGCTTACGTTAAATGTTGAATCCATTGTTCCGCATGACATGTTTCGTAGCTCACAATATGCTGCATGGGCCATAACATCACGGCTTCACCAAATCCGTCAGTCTGACAACCTGGCTGTTGCGGGCGCCATTCCGACGAGCCTTATCACATAGGAAGAAGGCCTGGCGCTGCCGTGCTGGCAGCTTGTTCTCCTCCCAGCGAGAGATATACTCTTGGACTATCTGTTCAATGAAGGTATCAACCTGGGAGGGCTGAAGTTGTGACTTCTTGGCCAGCCCTCGTTCCTGCTCTCGACGGACCTCCTCTTCCTCCTCCTCAATCTCATGATCAATGTCTTCCCATTCAGGATTGTCGTCGTTATCAGATTCTCCGAATACAGGTAGAGCAGACTTATTATCATTCCCGCCGCTTGAAGCTGTTGGGGTTACAAGGGTATCGCTTATCAGCCCATTAACGTATCTCTTTCTAGCTCGGCCGAAAAGCTTTATTAAAATTGATAATATCGACAAAAGAGAACTTTCCATTGTGACCTCTGCATTCAATCATACTCTACTATAGGTGCCCCATAAAGATGACATCTTCTACAGAATGAAGCCCAGGCTACTCGAAACATACCATTGTTTAATGTTCCGCTTCATATTTGATGCAGGCGAACACTTCGGCGGCGAGCAATATGTTCCTTGGGCCAAGATCTGTGTGGATGCGCGTCTCCCAGGTCGCGTACAGCACCTCGTTACCCTTGCATTTGGTCCGGACAACTTCACCTATGAGGTACAACACACCTCTACGCCTGCTCCTATGGATTTCATGTGCTTTGACGACATAGAAGACGAAACGGTAGGAGGAGGAGCGTGAGCGGGTGGAGATGGTTTCTGAGGAAGCTGCTGTTGCTCCGGGGGATTCTTCGCTCGGTGATTTTGACTGGAATTCGGGTGAGTTCTCTCTCACTGCCTTTGGGGCTATTCAAGTGTGTGCCAAATGAATACTTAGATTGACGACTGAAGAGCTATGTACAATGATCTATCTAATGGTAATGAACGTGTAGTTGTCGTGGATCGTTTGGATATGTTGTTGATCCGTCTGATCCTGAAATGTTGGATATGTTGTCGATCCAACATATCCATCCCTCATAACCCTAACCCTGGGTTATGTAATCCATGTTGGTAGTCCGATGTTGGGTCGTGACACCTGGTCCCTTGTTGGCGGGGTCTGTTTCGTTTAGCTCATCCTGCATGTGTCTCGGGTATATAATGCAGCACCAGCCGTGTCCAATGTCTCTTCTAACTCTTGCACCTTTCTTCACAATCTTGTCTGATCATACTCTTGTCTGAGAGCCAGTCTCATACACCATCATGGGCTCTCCAGTACACCCTCGCTATAATGAGATCACAAAGACAGATTGTGGCATATGCTTGGAGCCATACTCGAATGGCATTACGCTTACTGCTGTGTCTTGTGGCAAGTTACAACCTATCCAAACCCTGTTTGCTAATCATTAATTGACCTCATAATCATTCTTAGGACATGTTTATCATGAGAATTGCTGGGAAGGGTGGAAAGACGACTCGAAGAGCACATGCCCTTCATGCCGTGCTGAGCTCATCCCATTGATATCTTGCAAACTTATCATGTCTCCCACAAGAGAGATCACTGAGGCATTGGCGAAGGCTAATGTCTTGGAGCTGAGCAACACAAATCTTGCAGAAAGGATTAAGCAGGTTGAAGCTACCAACAAAGTAGCATCTGAACATACAGTGCAGTGGGCTCTGTCGGAACAAGCACGGGCCGATACTTTGCAACAACAGAATGAGCTGGCCCGGATAGAGGTTCAGAACAAGCTCATAGCGGCAGAATTAGCTACTCAAGAAGCCAGGTCACAATCAGCATGTTGGGAGAACATTGCTAAGACTGCTGGATCAGAGACTATGAAATTGCGATCCGAAGTCATGCAGCTCCAGCATGAGATTGACAGACAGCGAAACCGTTTGGAGATCCTCAATCGCGATAACACAACACTCAATCGCGATAACACAACACTCAAGCGCGACAACACAACACTCAAGCGCGACAACACAACACTCAAGGCTACCTTCTCGGAACAATCTCGGTGTTTCTTGCAAATCCGCACCCTTGTGGACGGTTGCAAGTCACAACCTTCTTTGCCTGCATCTGAAGATTCTGACTTGATCATCGTCGGAGAGCGGTGCATTGATGCATCTTCCGATGATGCATCTTCCGATGATGCATCTTCCGATGATGCGATCGAACCTCATCGAACAGCAGCAACTCCTGGCAAACGAGATCGTACCCGTGGACCGGGAGGTATCAGGAAGAAAACTGCGAGGCGCAATACGACGGGAAGGAAACCTTAAGCTTCAGCTTCGGAAAATACTTTTCTTGTTGAGTGCGATACATGTACAGGGAATGTCGGAAATTGATGACTGAATATTAGCAATGCTGTTTCATTGATAAGAACTTGTTCCTCTGATGCTGCTCCGAAACATTGATTACTCTCTCTTACCAACCCCACCATCACTCTTCTTTCTCTTTCCACACACTACGCTCGCAGTACGTACAAAGCCAACGTCTACACACACGCGAGTTTCTTCTTTGATATCCCATCAGCAATTCTATTGCAACCCCTTTATTCTTCATTATCTGCTTGTCTCTGCATTACACATCATCGCCGTTCATCAGTCGTCGCGTCTGGATCACTACAGCGCAATGGCGACAGGCAACGTCGAGGAGGGCGGCCTAGGCCAGCTCTTCGTTCAGGGTTACACGGCTGAAGCAGCTCCTCGCAACTTCATGCCTGATCTGGACTGCGGCGATGCTTATGATGAGGAGATTATGACCGCTTCAGACGTGTCTGACGACCTCGATCAGAACGACGACGATTCGTCCACCGACAGCCATTCCGACAAAGGAAAGGCGCCCATCACGGAAGTCGACGACAACATGTCCGAGACCCAGACTGCAACTGTGAAGAATCGTCGACAGCGCCGCCTGCAAGAGAAGAAATTCTACAAACAGCAATGCAAGGTGGCCACGAGCCGTGTCGCCGTCGACATTGAGGACGCCGACCTGCACTTTCACAACGACGATGTCAAGTTGCCCGACGGACTGCAGCTTGACATGTTCCGTCTGCGTTCCTCGACGTATCTGCCTGAATACATCACTATCATTCAGTCGGCAGCTGAAGCCTACAGTGAAGACTTTATCCTGGCAGTGACCCGTCTCCCACTCGCTACAGGTGGTCAAGCGTCGGGTACGCGTTGGTGGCGCAGTCTTCCTGGCTTCGAACGCGCCCGTATTGCCGAATCACTCGCATCTTTGCTGGACCACATTCAGGACGCAAGCCTTCGCAACGGATACGCGTTTTACCGCGTCAAGAATGATCAGTAGACAGAGGACGACTACCCCGAGGACATAGTACCTATGCCTGAGACTGCAGCTGATGATCAGAGCGGCGACTGGGCATACACCGAGACAGACCTTACAGAGTGCATGACGCAGCCGCTGGACAAGAACAATACCATCTGGTCTTACATCGGCGTCGACGTCTATGCCGATGAAGAGGGAATGACAGAGGAAGACAAGCAGCGCTGGTACAACGACGACTGCAATAATGAACCCCACCCTCTTACGAACTATGGCAAGTCTGCATATTACGGTAATTACCATCCCCGACTACGTTCCGCGAAAAGTGACAAAGGACAATGCAACTGGCTCATGGGCCATGGCGAAATTGAGCGACCGACCAGCGCAGCGGGAGGACAACCTCAAGCAGGATGACGATTTCCAGGCAAAGGTTCTATAAGATACCATGCAGCGAGCTACGAATGTCCTCGGACGCGAAGTTTTCGCCGGCATCTCCTACCCCTACAGCTGTATCATCCTGCACGACGACAAGCGCGCCACCTTCTACCAGGATAATACGATCGACCGCCTCGCGACAACCCCGGACGCGCCAATCAGCACAGTTTTCCGCATTCACGCGTACCCACACAGCGTGCCTTATATCACGGTGGAATATCTGGTTCGCTTTCGTCAGAGGCAGATTCCCTTCATTTCGTCCATCCCCTTCACGGCAATGAAAGAGTCGCCTCAGGTCCACCGTATCGAGAGCAGTCAGCTTCGCAGTTACATGCAGAGTCGTGGCCTTCCCTGCCGACAGACGCGTTCGGCATCGAGAGTCGCCTTCGTTGCCTGTACCGACGAGATTCATGTTCATCATGATCGCTTCGCCCAGGCTGACCTGTCTAGAGCCGGATTCCCTGATCTCAACGGTATTATCCAGCACATTACCGAACAGTATCGACAGGAAGACTTGTCTTTTGAGGTCTTCATTCCTAGCCAATGGAAGGACTTCGGATTCTGGGCTTATATTATGTCGACGCTGTACACAACCGCTGAGGATGATCCACTCGAGGAAATCCGTGCTGGTCTGACTGGAACGTCGGTGGTCGAACCAAAGAACGTCAACTTGGCACTTACCGAGAATACTGTTCAGCTGGAACCGGTCATGCGCTTCAAATCTATACCGGAAGCGCGACCTTCGAGAAGGGTACCGACGAGGGACGCGACGATGAAGCCCGACCGACAATGGTACCAGAGGACGATCCGTACGGAGACACGGATGAAGAAGACGCTGGGGACCCAAACCTGACGGAACGTGTCCCAGACGGTGTGCCTATCGACTTGCAGGCAGCACTCCGCAATATGCGCGTCGAGGCAGGCGAAGAACTGGACGAGCAACAAGCCGCACCAAGTCGTCAGACGAACTCAAAGGTCCTATTCATCGTACAACGGAACGAGCACGGAGAGCGCATCGCCGAGGCAGCAAATGTCAAGACGAGCAAACCCGTACAGGACACGCACAATTATCAAGGCCAACAATCTCATTCTGGAGCAGAAAGAGCTGGTACGCAGCCTTAGAGGCATATATCCTAGGATTTTTCGATCTTGTTCGGACTGCGAAAGACCATGAAGGTCAAAGACTCCAAGATTCCCGCTCTAGCCAATAATCATGCCACCGTCCTCCATTCTTCAACTACGCTTAGCGGCCAACACAGACCAAATGCCCCATTTTGGTCCCATGGTCAGGCCATCTTGGACGTTGGCCATACTATTTTACCCTTCAGCAATCTCTAGCTAGTTTGAGATTTCGCCACGCTGTGCTCAGCAGGTTCTTGCCCAGGTTCCCACCCAGGTTCCAGAAAGCCCCAGTTTCGACCGGCGCATTTTATGCAGAAGCTGTCCCATGTGTTATGACCCATCCAATATGCAGGTCACGGAACAGGCCCCGCCAACAAGGAACCAGGTTGTCACGACCCAACGTCAGATTGGTGAGTAGGAGGCTGCTGCGATGAAACAGCCCATCTTTTCTCGGGGAAACTATTCCTTTTGGAAAACATATTCCCAAAACCGGGTAGTAGCCCATTCGGGATGATCGGTTGACCTAATGTCATTGTAGAGTCTGCGGACGTGTGTGGACTGGAGGAATCCCATCGGGGCAATGTAAAACAATGTTCTCTTTGTGTCTTCTCAATGTTCTCTCTGCATTGTAGATCCGGGCATATCTTAGGAAGATGATGTATAAATATCCTGATTTATGTAGTCAATAAGCTAGGGTTTACTATACGAGGGTGGCTACGATGCTGCTAGATCATGAAAGCTATCACAACCTCATCGCAACTCATCACTGCTTCCTCGCAGCTTGATCCCCCCTTACAAGATGAGCTAACCGTTCTGTCCATGCCATCCCACCAAGAAAGTCTTCTCACACCAATGCAACCTCCGCACACCAATCACACCCATTACACATATCGCATCAAGATTAAGCGCTATGATTCCATTCTACCTGCCCACCAGGGAAGCCCTCCTCACACCAATCAAATCTATTGTACCTACAGCCACAAAATTAAGCGCTAAGCTGGCGCTGACTCTGCGGCTTGATTTTGTAAGACTCATGCAATTACTGCATATCATTTCCGACTTCAGAGGAGCAGGCCTTCTATTATGTGAGATGATGTTTTCTTGGGGTCAGAGGGCTTTGAAGAGAGTAATAGACTTGAATCAGAAAGATTAGAAGACTTGTTAGGAAGCAGAACACGCTCTGTGTACATGGGAAGAGAAGTCAACTCAAGCCTCCTCATGGCAGCGAGTCTCCCGGCAGCCCTAGCTCGTCTCCAATATCAATCAAATAGCCCTATCCAGATTTGTTATGTTGAAGTATTCTAGCAATTCCGAAGCTATAACCAACATGCCCTCTATCATTGCTCGGATTTCTGCTAGCAGCACATCGCCACTTGGGCTTGCTACGATTCGATGGAATTGCATAGCACAACATCTGATGTTAGCAGACTCTCTGCCCATTTTCGCGGACACCGGTTTCTCTGGTCATCAGCAGGTCGACTTCGGCATAGAGAGCGGCTGCCAATTTCAGTTGCCTGCTCTGAACGGTATCAGACGACGGCATTGTTCTCTTCGCTTCGAAAATCGAACCTTGAAAGTCCACAGCTTCGGTGCATTCTCCGATAGCGCAGGCACTGCAGTTATGATAGATGGTTAGCAATGGAAACTATGCGTGGTTTTTCCTTGCATTTGTTGACCGGTGTCTCGGAGATTGGTCTCGGATTCCACCCTCAACTTTCCTTCATTGTATCTCTTATACAAGAGAGCCTTAATAACAGTCTTTCAATTATTGAAGCTCAGCAGGCCAGATATACAATTCCTATGCGAGGGCCAGTGAGTCACTGGCCCTAGGCCGTGCACGGCCCAGCCAGCCAGCCAACAGCCAGACCTGTTGATAGCTTCAGTTAGTTGCCCTCGTGGTTTTTCTCTTCTTTTCTCTTCTCTTTAGCGCACTGCAATACGAGCTTTTTTGCCCTCGCATAATTCCTATAACAAAAATTTAGCGCAAACCTCAGCAGCATCATTACTAACTTGAGCTTGAGATAATGAAAAACTTTTAATATATACATCATTGCCGAATACTATTACTGTTGAATTGATTCTAATATCAATTTCCAGAAGAATCTGACTCGTTTATCAAGCTATAATCTCGAAACATTACCTCCTTTCGTTATCCTAAGCTCTTGCATTCTAAGCAATCTGGAAAATTACTACAGCAGCTAGCTATTTACAAGCATCGAATGCAGTATCATTGCACAGCAGAGCCTTTCCGGCCTCTCTTATCTCCATAACTATAGCTTAACCCACCGAAATATTGAGCCTAGCATAATTCTTGTTTCATATCGAAATAGAGCTAATATCCAGATCAAACTTCATGATTTCGCTGGCCTTACAGATGATCCTTCACCGAGATCAACTTTCATCCTACCAGAATTACAGCAATGTACCAGCAGCATACTTACATAGCGTAGCGATATATGGTCTTTTGGCGTTGTAGTCTAGTATTTCAAAGCCGGCCTGCCAACCTGATGGGACGGCTACTTCTGCCAGGATTTGTGTTATATCGTGAACGCTGTAAAGCATCCTGACTAAGTCAAAGGGGGGGGTTTTGGGCCGGGGTAGTTTTGGGCCACCCTGGCCACCCTCACCGCCTCTTCAACCCCCTTTAGTTTGATAGCTATTACTCAACCAATTTTGATCCAAACAACTTCATCTTTCCAGCAAACCTTTATCTGACTGTTATGAAGCCCTATTCCGAGTTTGAGCTAGCCCAGGCCGTTGAGGCTGTCAGAAAAGGCAAGTCTCAGCGGCAAGCCTCGAGGGAATGGGGTATTCCAAGGAGTACTCTTCAGGCTCGCCTAGAAGGAGGGGAATCGCATAAAACAGCCCACGAAAACCAGCAAAGGCTCTCTATTGATCAGGAAAGAAGACTAGCCGAATGGATCCTGATTCAAGAAAGCCTAGGCGTTCCACCAAGCCATTCAGAACTCAAATACTTTGCTCAGCAGATCCTCGAGGTCCAGGGAGACTCTCAGGCCCTCGGGGTGCAATGAACTCAGGCTTTTTTGAAGAGAAATCCAGAGATAAAGGTCAGGAAGACTCGCCGCATTGCCTCTGAACGAACGAATGGGGCTACAACAGAGGTAATACGGCTTTGGTTTCGTCTTTTCAATCTTCCTCATATCCAAGCTATTAAGCCAGCTAATAGATGGAATATGGATGAAGCTGGCCTGATGGAGGGCCAAGGAACAAATGGATTAGTCCTCGGAGGCTCCTCTTCGCGTTCAATTCAAAGGAAAGACCCTGGATCAAAAGCCTGGACTTCTTTCCTCGAGTGTATCTCAGCTACAGGTGCCTACCTCTTCCCTCTGGTGATTTTCAAGGGCCAAACGGTACAACAACAGTGGTTTCCTCTTGATTTGGAGCCTTTTGATGGTTGGAAGTTTACAGCTACGCAAAACGGATGGACAAACGATAAAATGGCAGTTGAATGGCTGAAAGAGATCTTCATTCCTCATAGCCAGCCAGCAGACCCCTCAGAAGCCAGGCTGTTAGTCCTGGATGGCCATGGCAGCTATAAAACGGACGAGTTTATGTGGCTTTGCTTCCAAAACAATATCCTGCTTATTTACTTGCCTCCTCATACCTCTCACGTTCTTCAACCCCTCGATCTAGGGGTCTTTTCATCTCTCAAACGGGCATACAGAAAGAAAGTCAGCAATATGGGCCAATGGGGCGATTCAACTATCGCAGGCAAGCGTTTATTCCTCAGCAACTATCGTCTGGCTCGACTGGAAGGCCTTTCAAGCCAGAATATTAGATCTGGATGGAAAGTAACTGGTCTGTGGCCTCTCAGACCCTCAAAAGCCCTCTTGAGCCCTCTTCTCCTCGAGAACAGTCAACCAAGCCGTCAGACCCAGTCCAATTCAGGCTCAGCACAATCAACAGCACCTCGTCTTTCCCCAAAAGCCTCCTCAAGCCAGCCAGTCCTCTTTTCAACTCCTCGAAAGGCTAAACAGCTATACTATCAGCTGCTAGAGAATCGGCAACAACTTCGAACGGAACCAGGCCGCCGTATGCTATTCAAGAAGATAAAAAAGGCTTATGGGGAGAGGGATCTCGAGTTTGCCAAGGCATTGGAGGAAAATAAAGCGTTGAAAAGGCAGATTGAGGCTCTGAGGCCTAGTAAAAGAAGAAAGGTTGATATGGATCCGAATTCGAAGTTTGCAGGGATTGAGGATATACAGAGAGCTCAAAACGCGGCTAATCGCCACGAGGATAGTCTGAATGAAGAGAGCGATGTCGAATTACCTACTGATGAGGAGGATTGCATCGTGGTGGGTGAATAGAATAGATAAACAGTATATATATATATGGGTGTGTGTATTTGACGAGGGTGGCCAGGGTGGCCCAAAACTACCCCGGCCCAAAACCCCCCCCTTTGACTTACTTGATCAGACTTTTGAAATCAAGCATACTGCGATCGAAACCTCTGCAACAACGCTCTGCATCATATTGTCTCGAGAGGCTTAAAGATGAGCCTGTTATCTATAAGAGCAGCGATAATACCTACGTACTGCACAACAAGAGTAGCAACATTGCATTCAATAAACAACTCAGATCATTTCGAGCGGAGAACATTATAGATCAGCCGGGTTCATATGCTGCTTGGCGCTATGATTCATACGATCTTATTGAGGGATCAGAGGCGTGGCGAAATATTGACAATGTTCTGGATCTCACCTCATACGCTTCAGCCTTCCCCCCTGATCTCATGCAGGATTTTGAGGAGTATATTGAGATTCTGCGCGACTTTTGCGATAATGAGCTGAATGTTCCTACTAGGGTTGGAGAACCGCCTGTTTCCAAGCAGGAACTTTGTTATCAGGTTAAGATTAATGAGACAACCGTTTCTTATATACCTTCCAGAGGATTCTTGAATCTCGAGCAGGTTAGCCGGAGTTCGAGACTCGGATATGGCGAAGGCCTCCCTTATATCCATCTATCAGGACGAGATCAGCCCAAAGGCGTATACATTAGCGTCGATATTGCTATAGGCTTCTTTCAACGTTGTCAAGATAAAGGAGAGAACCACCAAAGACATCTTCACGGTCTCTACATTATCAGCAGCCAAACAATCAAGCAATGCCGCAGCTGCCACAAGAATCACTCCCCCAACCACTTCGAACGCTTGCACCAGAATAGAAGCTATACAAAGACTTTTGACAGTCAGGAATGTCGAATCAAATATGAATCCCAGGTTTGACTCTCTTTGTATAATATCCCAGAATTAGAAGATCTAATATCTTGATAGAAAGAATTTGTTCATAGCGTCGGAGGAAGCACTGCAATAGCACAGCTGTCCTCCCTAGATGGCGCCAATTCAATACCGGAAGAGCTCACTTGGCTTCCGTCTATTCCTCCCTTTTCTCTTCAAGATCTATGGTATGAGTGCACTGACTGCAGCCTTCGCCGTAACCCTCGACACCGCAGCTCTGGTAAGCCTGAGATTTGCTATAGCTGTCGCGACCAGGGTCTGAACACATGGAGCGATAATACGCTTGTAGTTTGCACTCGCTGCATTATGGAGCTTCCGTTGATTCACTTTCTACGCTACGATCAGTACGCGCGTATCTGTGTAGGGTGTTCGGCACGATCTGTGGAAGCTGGAATTACGCCATTCGCAAGTACAGCAGATCAAACCTTTGGATAGTTATAACCTTGCTTTCGCTCTAATACATCTCATCCGGATAGCTCATTAAGTGTTTAAATCATAGAAACTATTCAAGTACATGTGAAAACTGCCACAAATCGAGTACCAAAAGGCATCGCTGCCCCTACATGTATCAAGTATCAAAGGAGCGCGAGCGTATTCGAGACGAAATGACGCATAAGGAAAATATCCCCTTAGATCCCCCAGATATCCCTGGGACGTCGTGGAAACACGAACATCCCTATTAAGCTATTGCTCGATCTACTCATCTGCAAGCGAATGCACTAGAGGACTGCCAACCCGCTGTTGAGATGCACCACAGCGTATTCATAAGTCTAGACAGGCAAAGAAGTAACATAGAGATTGACCTGCCCGAATCAGCAAGCAATAATCATCACCCAAAACAAAGACTATACCATCAAAAGAACTGTCATACGAAATTTGTACAGCAGCGGCACTTGGGTAGGGGGGAGCCTGCAGGAGGAGCATATAGCATTGACTATAGTTACAGGCAGCTTATACCTAGGAGGGGCCGTCCTCCAGCATACATAAGGCTATCCTGCTCTCACATTTGATTAATGCTGCATCTTGGGTGAAGTACCTTGTAGTATCCTTGACAGAAACATCCTATTGAAAGCTTTGCTAAATGGTGTCCGCAGACTGCTCACGCTATAATGACTTTTGTTGATGGAAGCGAACCACCGTCGTAATCACTGGGATGGACACCACAAGTTCCAGCATCACAGGGACCAGAAAAATGATATGAATCATTCGAATTCAATGCTAACATGAGCTCGGGTGATCTGTTCCTTAATAGTATCAATTGCTTCTCCAAATTCTTCTTTAACCCAATCCTCGAGCTCAATTTTTACATCTATTATCTTCTCATCTAACTGGTAGTCAAGCTCCTCTGACCCTCGCTCGATCTGTTTATCCAACCTAGCTACCTTAGCTATTACTTTGATTTTTTCAGATTGATCTGTCAGTAGTGTATAGACTTATTCCAATATCCGAGCTTCTGCTTTTGCAAATGCTTGATACAGAGAATCTGTTATCTGCTCTTGCTGTTCAAATATGATATGTATCTTCTTGTAAATAGTCTCGAGGCTGATTCTATCAGTGCTTTCGGGAGAGCTCTTGCATTGCCGTTTATTAGAGCTTGATATGCTGGATGCTGTAACCTGCATTAGCAAAATTATAAATAATTATTTGTATATATACTTATATAAAGGTTGATTCAGTACAGGTAGAAGCAGATCTTTCAGTTCCTTGTAAGATAGAAGGCTTGGAAGAATAAATAGCAAGCTAGTGAAAATCCGGCTATTTTGCCTACTATATAGTCTGCCGAGTCGTACTGTTGTATTCTATACTTGAACTTTCTAACTGGATATAGTTTGATAGAGTTGTACTAACAAATTGCCAGACTGCAAGTATAGAGTCAAGTAGAGATTATTTAGAAGCGATTGGATAGAATCAAGAATCAAACCTTTAGCTCTCTTGGAAGTACGAGGAACGAATAGCAGCCCGATCAAATCAGCAGGCCTGGCTAGTACAAGGTATAAGCACCTCGTAACTTTATCTGGTATGTTGTCCGAAGCAAGTGTACCAGAACGGATCCGGTCCAAATGTAACTAATGATAAAAGGGCGTCCTGGCTCGGGAACCTTTGCTGTGTCGCAGCCCGAGAGCTCGTTTCCCCCCTGGACATTCCAGAGGGGAAAGTCGTTCTACCAGAAGGGGAAGACATTCTCGCCCGGGCGATCGACCCTAGCAGTTCTGCCTGAGTTGGTAGATATGTTCATGTCATGTATACCACTGTTACATTTCTCTGGGTAACGTATCAGCTACTACCTGTATAGTATATAACTATAGACAATTTCTTAAAGCCCTGTATAGCCCTGTTCGAGGCAATAACGGAGGATATAGTCATGTACAGTGACAGATATATACCTTCCCGTACACTATACTATTGAATGTTAACTTACATGACTCTGGCAGTGTAACCAACCTCATGCCCTCGACTAGCAAGTAAAAGCTTTGGTTAGTATCGATAGTAGGCTACCATGCTTCTTCCTCCAAATAGCATCTACATATAAGTTCTCTATATAACAATAATTGATACTTTATCAGCCTGGACTATAAAGTTCCGGATTTGTAAACAGATAACTATAGCACATATTTTCCCCTCAAAATATGCTTTTCGCTAATCCTTCCCAGAGTAGCAATATCAGTAAAGTACAGAGATATGCTTTTCGCTAATCCTTTCCAGAGTAGCAATATCAGTAAAGCACAGACATATACTTTTTACTGATACTTTCCAGAATCCTTGCATACATTAGTACCTAGGTAGGAAGTATACTTTTTATATCAGACAGTACTTAAATAGTCTTGCAGAATAAGTACTTGAGATGTACAAAACTCTGTAATTATCACTCGATTTTCTTACTCTTAATACACTTCTATCAGCACTACTGAAATACCTGCTAAGAGTTATCCCAGATAGATCCTTCTTAGCATAATAAAATCGTATTTGTTAAGAATATACAGATACTTGTCGAAGCTTATTTTTCCAGCATTCTTGATTTCACTTCTATTGCCCTACAGAATTTTTTCATCTGCAGTAATAATATATTTGTTTATAATACTGCTTCAACAAAATTGAGTTAGGCTGATAGTCTGTATTAGTTCTCTGCTTGCAGAAGCAGCAGTTTCAGAGCTTATCGAAAGGTTAGATGGAATTCTAAGAAGTGCAGCAGGTCTGATGTAAAGACAGGCAGGCTATAGAAGCGGGTTTTCATTGTTGTATTGTCTGATCAATATTATCATATTATCAGCTATAATTCTTCCGATCCTGCAGAGACTTATCTGCTTCTTTCCCCTTTTGAGGACTAAATGCTCGAGGATATTACCTGTCTGCAGAAACGCCGGTCTGCTTTCGGAGAGCAAGACAGTCAATTCAGTCCTGGCCAGTTTCTAACCAGGCTACTCAGACTACCCAGTCCCAGTCCTCATCCGATAAGACAAACCCGACAACTCAGGGTAAAGGGCAATGCGGACAGACTATCTGATATAACTTTTGCTTTTATGCAATGGCTGCTTTTTTTTTTTTTTTTTTTTTGTAGATATGTGTCCCTTGCTCGGTGTTGATTGCATATATATATGGACTCGTCTTTGTTCCTTACTCTGTCTAGGAACAGAGTTCCGAAAAGCCTCGAAGCCAACACTACAAGAGAAGAGCTTACCCTTATGTAATGAATGCACTGCAATATCCGAAGATCTGAAGTACACAAAGGGTTTATGCTAACAAGAGCGGTGTCAAAGTAGTAACCACTGAATACGGAAATATAACTGAGTAATCCGTGCAAGTGCTGTTCATTCGCCTTTGGGGCTATTCAAGTGTGTAACAAATGAATACTTAGATTGACAACTGAAGAGCTATGTTCTGGTGATCTATCTAATGGTAATGAATGTGTTCTTATATATTCAGCTCTTCAGTGTGGCTCACCGTCTTTGTTGTACCTCATGGATTACCGTGGTGATCCAAGTGAGCCTGGTGAGCTGTGCTCCTGGTGATCCTGGTAATCCAACCTGTAACCCTAACCCTTGATTACCTAATCTCCTTTAGGCGTATTCGTGCTTTGGGTCGTAATCCCTGGCTTTTCTGTTAGCGGGGCCTGTTCTGTGACCTGCATGCTGGATGGATCATAACATCATCTCCCTCCTATCAGTCGTTGTTCTCAACGATCTTTCGTAAGTTTCCTGGCCAGTTCTTTGTACGCTGGATCATGCCTTCCTAATCGAGATGTCGAACAGAGTCGACAAACCTTTTTCCAAGAAGACCGAGCAGCGTAACCGTCTTTTCTTGGCTGTTGATCAGTTTGGTTTCGAGATTATGCTTTGTACTGCGTGTGCTTCTCGGAGTCTGGTGTGCAAGATGATGGATGACACGAAGCGTTGTTCTCAGTGTATTCGTCGTGCCCGTTCTTGCGATGGTTGTGAGGTTCCCGTTTCTGCTCGTGAGTGTCCTTCCTTTCCTTTTCCACGTCCGCTCTGACGGCCCTCCCCTTTTCTAGTTTCGCGCATTATGGCGGAGGACAAGAAGCTAGAGTCGAAGGAGCGGGAAGCAGAGGCGAAGTTCGAGGAGGCCCATCGTCGGGCGTTGGAGGTCCTGGATGAGGCTCGTATGAAGATTTCGGAGTCCGCTGCCCATCTTGCCCGTTTACGCACCCAACGCAAGTCCCTTGCTTCGCGTGGTGCTCAGATGGTGTTGTGGTGGCCAGGGTGGTAGTCCGTGGGACATGGAGTACAGTGGGTCAAGGGTCCTCATACATATAAAGGATACCACCCACTTTTCAAATTCTTTAGCTATAGGCAACAATCAAGCATCCTTTCTCTTCTTTTCAATTTTGAACCCTTTGGACAGGTCTAAGACAGGTTTTTCACCCTGTTCTTGTGCCCGTGTGGCCTTAGTTTGCTGTCCTCATCTGTACAGGCACGCTTGGGTTGCACGAGCCCTTGCCCATTGCTTCGGCAGCTGTTCGTTCCTTCTTTCGAGGGCGACGGCGCCCTAGTTCTGGTTCAATGGTGAACGCGGGCCTTGAGTCTCTCGACGAGTTGGATGAGCAGGAACGCCGCGAGGAGGAGGAGCGTAATCTTGCCGCGTCAGTTCGCGAAGTGGTATCGGCTGAGGATATTTTGGCTAATGATCCTTTGTTTGGTGGTTTTGATTGGAATTCCGTCAATCCCAATGGGGCTGTGGTGGATTATTCTGGCTTTCTGCAGAGTAGGGTTTCTGAAGCTTCTGGATCTCGGTCCGGGGCGGAGCGATCTTCCTAGGTGCTGGTTTCTGGTTTCTGTCTTGATTCGTGGTGTGTTGCCCTGGTGCAGACCAAATGTCTCGTATTGGTGCCTGCATCCTTATTTCTGTAACCTGCGAGGACCCTGGTACGATGGTGGCGTTCTTTCCGCTAGATTCTTCTTCTTGAGCTATCAGCCTTGCTGATCTGGAGGTATGTGTGAATCCGTGTGAAGCCTCTTTTCTTGAGTATCCTTCAGTAACTGAATTCGATCCTGCGTCGTTGATTGCAACCATCCTGTTGGATACAGCTTGTTCCCAAGAGATCTGGCCAGTAGTCTAATCGATTCGAGAATTATGCTTTCTGAGCCAAGAAATGCTTAGAATCAACTTGTATCCTGCTGTATCTGTGATATCAAAGGCGATAGACATCATATAATCTTGGATTAAGACTAGTAGATGATCAGTTTCCATATCGATTATACCTTGATTATATGCAACGATCTGTTCTTTTACAGTGAGGAGATCATAGGTTTCCTTCTTCTGATGCTAATCAATATATGCCTTGTTGATAATTCTGAGGAATATGAAGTTTCCTTAAGCGCTACTATTTAATAGAGCTCTGTACTTGTTTCCATAAATGTAAGCATCGAGTTTTATGTGCGCTTCGTTTCTGCTGTATGCAGCATATATGTAAAGAACTGCACTGCAATATCCGAAGATCTGTAGTATACAAAGGGTTTATGCTAACAAGAGCAGTATCAAAGTAGAATCCACTGAATACGGAAATATAACTGAGTAATCCGTACAAGTGCTGTTCATTCGCCTTTGGGGCTATTCAAGTGTGTAACAAATGAATATTTAGATTGACGACTGAAGAGCTATATCCTGGTGGTCTATCTAATGGTAATGAACGTGTCCTTATATATCCAGCTCTTCAGTGTGGCTCACCGTCTTTGTCGTACCTCATGGATCACCGTGGTGATCCAAGTGAGCCTGGTGAGCTGTGCTCCTGGTGATCCTGGTAATCCAACCCTGTAACCCTAACCCTTGATTACCTAATCTCCTTTAGGCGTATTCGTGCTTTGGGTCGTAATCCCTGGCTTTTCTGTTGGCGGGGCCTGTCCTGTGACCTGCATGCTGGATGGGTCATAACACCTTATCTCAAGTAGAACGCTGTGGACCATCCCCTTTTATAAAGGAAGAAGAAAAGAAAATCCTCCTCCAAGACGCAATCAGGCAGACTAAATATTTTAGTTCCAAGTTCGATCATCATAGCCCTACCACATACATTCCTCGTCCCTCGTACCCAGATAAGCCACTAAAAGTAGCTATCTTTCAAATACTTGGCAATATCGGTAGTAAGTAGTCAAGCAAGCATGACCGTTGCGCCTAGACATCGCCATCGTCGTCGCACCTGAAAGCTCAAGTCAGTATCATGAGAATTGCATTGTACTCATACTATAAGGAAGTACTTACTCGGGAGGCTCGAGCGAGTAGACGGGTATAGATCATTATTGACTAAGCAGGTCTGACACCGCTTTCTCTATTTGCTCTTGTCTGTTCAACTTACCGCCTTCCTCTTTAGTTACTTTCCTTATCTTACACTTTCTCCTTGCACCCGGCTTACCGCCTTCTTCTTTTGCTTGCCTTCTCATTCATTCACCGCTTTCTTCTTTAGTTCTATTTCCCAGTGACGCAAATGCCCAACGCCTTATTTGTTTAGATCCAGTCTATTCGCTATCCCTCAATTTTTATCACCATACCTGAAGAACTCACTTCAAAAAAGCGGAAATAGGAGATGTCTGAATAAAAAAAACACATGCTGTGGAGTTCCGGTGTGCTGTGCTGCCATTCAATCCAAAGCCCTTGCGGGAGGTACATTATGACAGAATTGGAGGCCGAACCGCGAAGCATCTAGTCACCTGTGAAAAATGGGGCATATTTAACCCTAACCCTCTGTTTTGGTCTCCGTATAAACCATCTCAGAGCCTGGTTTAGTTACTTAGAAGATCTTCCTTTGTATTAGATAGATTCAATCTCAACACTCATTCAGCCACTTCCACGTGCTCAGCTCATACGTTTCTCCTTATCAGTATATAAGACTGAATACTTAGATTGACAACTGAAGAGCTATGTACAAGATCTATCTACTGGTAGTAATGACTGTGGTTATATATCCGGCTCTTCAGCCCTGACTATCTTGACTATGTGCTGATTCCTCATAGTCGTTTCCTGAATATGTTGACTATGTTCATAGTCAACATAGTCACGCTAGTAATCCTATCCCTGGATTACATAATCAGGATTCTGTCAATGTTGCATTGGTTTTTCTGCTGTCCTGTATCCTGCTGTTGGTGTGGTTGGTTTTCGTAACCTGCATGTTGAATGGGTCATAACATCATCTCCCTCCTATCGATCGTTGTTCCTAACGATCTTCTGTAAGTTTCCGAGCATCCCCTGTCGTATGGTCATGCCTTCCTAATCAGGATGTCGAACCAGGTCAATAATTCCCGTGTTGCAAAACCTCGTTCTCATCGTTTACCCACTGCTCCTAAGAGCACGCAGGATCGCGATCTGCTGATCTCAAAGATCCTCAAGAATTTCATCGAGATGCTCTCTTGTTCTTATTGTGAGGATTGCGGACTTGAATTGTGCAAGGTTTCTCCGCTGGATTCTTCTGGTTGCGCCGAGTGCGTCAAGCTTGGGCGGTCGAAGTGTGACGTTCTTGGTCCGATCCCCGAGGAGTTGTCCAATATCGCTGTTCAGCATCGGCGGCTGGAGGATGAGATCGAGGGTTTGGAAGAGAAACTTCTTCGTCTGCGGAAACAGAAGCGTATGTAGTCTGAAAAGATGAAACGTGCTCTGCATCGCGGCATTACTCGTGTGGAGGAGCTGGATCGCGTGGAGGCTGAGGAGGCCGAGGCGGAGCGTCTTCGTGCGGAAGAGGATAGGAGGGCTGCCAAGGCCCTGGTTCCCGAGGGTCCCCTTCTCGAGAATTTCGACATTCTTGCTTCCGACCTCTCCCTGGTGGATTGGAGTCAGGAGCTAGCTGGGCTGGAGCGATCCGGTGGTCAGGCGAGTTCGTCTCGTTCTTGATGTGAGAGTGTGTTCCAAAATTCCTTGATAAGTTCTTTGCTGATATTCGCGGGTTTTTCCCATGAGTTCTCGCTGCTACTGTAGTTCTTCCATTGAACTAAATACTGGTATTCTCTTCCTCTTTTCCTTGCTCTGAGGATTTTATCGACTTGATATTGCTCATCGTCTGATTCGATAGGCTCGTCGTATGCGAGTTTGGCGGTATCCGGGGCTGGTTCCAAGAGTGAGATGTGAAAGACTGGGTGTAGTCTTTTGTATGGGATGGTGAGTTCGTAGTTAACTGGTGAGATTTTTCGCACAATTTTGAAGGGTCCTAGTTTCTTGTGATCGAGCTTGTTGTTGGGTTGTGTGGTTTTGATGTTTTTTCGTCTTAAATAGACTTTATCTCCCTCCTTTAGGATTAGTCCCTCAATCCTTTTGGAGTTAGCTGCGATCGCCATTTGTTCTCTAACCTTTCTAAGCTCTGATTGGAGGTTCTTATGAATGTTCTTTAGCCTGTTGGTTTTCTGAATAGCATCTTCAGCATCTGCGCTGGGAATCGTCTTGTGGTATGCTGTGGGGTTGTATCCATATATCGCGTAGAAGGGTGACACCTTCGTAGTGCTCATGTCTGCGCTGTTATATGCGAATTCTGCAAGTGATAGCCATTATATCCAATCATCCTGTTGCTTATTGATGTAGTGGCATAGATACTGTTCTACAATCTGGTTGATACGTTCTGTCTGTCCGTCTGTCTCTGGGTGAAATGCGGTGGAAAGTTGTTGTTTCGATCCGAGTAACCTGGTAAGTGAGATTCAAAACTTGGATGCAAACTTCCTGTCTCTATCGGATATGATTTCTTGTGGCATGCTGTGCTTGCTTACAATTGTTCGGAGTATCGTGTAGGCGAGTTCCTCTGCAGTGCTGCTTTCCTTATAGAGTAGGAAGTACGCATACTTGCTCAGTCTGCAAACCACTACCAAGATGCTATCAAATTGTACCTTGGTTAAGAGTTCTCGTAAGAGTAGTAACTTGGTAATAAAGTCTAGGCTGATGGAAGACCAAATAGCGCTAGGTACTAGTAAGGGTTAGAGCAGTTCGTAGGGCTTGTATCTGTTTGTCTTGTTCTTGTTGCAACTATTGCATTCCTTTAAGAGGTCCCTGATCCTCTTCTTGAGTTCTGGCGGGTTTCAGTATCTCGAAATCCTGTTGTATATAGCTCTGATTCCTTGGTAGCTGTGTGCTGGTGCTTCGTGCATGTCCTTGATGTATTAGTCTTGTTCTTCTGAGGTTATCTGTTCTGGGTTCTTTCTGTTGTAGCTGATCCTGAGGGTGATGTTTAATTCCCTGTGTGCGTTGGTGAGGTTCCCTTCCTTATCTCTTTCGAAGATGTTCTGAATTTCTTCTTCAATATGATCCCTGTGATCTGGTCTTCTGCTGAGGGCGTCTGCTCTAGCATTTTCTTTTCCCTGGACGTAGATGATCTTGAAGTCAAACTGGGATAGATATTCTGCTCATCTCACCTGTCGTCGATTTAAGATCTTCGTTGTCATGAATGAGGTGAGATTCTTATGATCCGAAAACACTTTGATCGTGTGTTTGGCGCCAATAAGATAGTGTTCCCATTCCTTGAATGCTTCTACTATGGCCATGAGTTCCTTGTCTGGTATCCCGTACCGTAGCTCTAGTCCGTTGAGCTTCTTGAAGAAATTGGCAATCAGGCGTAAGCGTCCCTGATCGTCCCGTTGGTTAAATTCTCCGCCAAGTGCGTAATCCGAGGAGTTCGTTCAAAGTTCATACTCCTTTTCTGGATCGGATTCTTCCAAATTTGGGTCTTTGGCAACTAGCTCTTTGATCTTATTGAAGGCGTAACTTTCCTGATCTGACCAGAGGAATGGTTGTTCCTTCTTGGTGAGGTTTGTGAGGGGTCTGGCAATCTCGCTGTATTTTCCGATAAACTGTT